ATACTTCCCAACCATACGTGCAGCCGTCGAAACGTTGCAGTGTTGGTAGAGAACATGAAATAGCTGCCTTGCATTTGGTTTTATCTTTTTGAACTATCAATATTCCTAATCTGTTCTACAGTTTGACCAAGAATCGAAAGCTACATACTCCCTTCGTCCCATAATTATTGTCCAGTTTGGATTTTCATTTCTAGTTCAAATTGTACTAAAAATAAAATCTCAAACTGGACAATAATTTTGGGACAGAGAGAGTACTACCCTTTTGTTCCTATTTAAAAATATAATTTTAAATTAAATTTAGTTGTTGTAAAAAATATTTATTGACCATTGGCTTCTAATAAGAGGGGAGAAGTGAGTAATATAGTTAAAATGGTTAGTTTTTTTGAGTAATTCACCTATTATGCCCTTATAAATGATTAGTGGTTGCTAGTTAATATGGTGAGATTAGGAGTTGAATTCAATTCAATGTTCTAAATTTTTGTGATTGTAGTGGGAGTATATTAGAGAATTCATATATAAAATTACTGTAATGTCTAAAATGAGACTAAATTTTGGAATATTTTAAAAGAAAAAGTGAGGCTAATGAATTGGAACAGATGTAGTATGAAATTGCAACCTGTCTAATTTTTAATTGACAAATTATAAAATGACAGTGGAATAAATACTAAGAAGAGTTAAACATAATAAATACTAATGTAGAGCTTAATGTCACAAGAGCATCGAAAGCCATGCACCACAACATATTGCCCACTATGATCTCCACATCGCTCATTGACAATTTTAAAAGTTTGAGCATCAATAAATGCGCTGAAAAAGAATAAGGAAATTCATATAGGTATATTTGGGCGTTAATTTGTTTATACTTTTCAAAGGCCATTACTATTGTTATTTTCCACATCCATCAATGGACAAGATTTCGAAGAGTAAAACATTTTTTGCCCATACGTAAAGATCACGAGAAAATTATCTTCTATTCTCAAATAATACCCGATTATGATCTAGTGAATGATATAACTTCCTTATGTTTAATGGGGTTAATGGATTGAGTTAGCTAATTAAACATGTTTGGGAACCATAAAATCTTGTCTCCTCTTTTTTTTGGTTGGTAAACAAGGCCAATGAATTTCAGTTGCCACCAATTTGACACATTAGAAATAGACTATGCCTCTAAACCTAATTAACAACAAAAATAATAACTACTCAAAGGTCAAGTTCAATAGGTATCCCCTGAGGCACCCAAGGAGCACCTTGAAGAAATGTCCTAACACTAAATTGCCTAGCTACATAATCATCCTTAATCACATGAAATCCAGGCCATTTAACCCTCCCATCGGTTGATGCACCGGAGCCCCGATTATCGTACTCCCCGTAATACATTGTTTCATGCGAGGTATTCCAGTCTAACCAGCCTTCCGGGTCAAGCAACTCATCCAAGAAACTCCTCATAAACACCACTCTCGAATAAGGCCGCCACGGCCGGCCGAGATACGTTCTGAATATTTTCTGACACGGTTTTAGGTCCGGAGCCGCCGTGACTCCGCACCGGTGGAAAACCATTCCGGAGCATGTGTCCGGGTTGTCCTTGCTCTGGGCCGTGAGCGTGTTGATCCGACCCGGAAGATGGCTTCTTGGGAGAATGACGCATCTTTGGAACACTACGGTGGCGTCTCCCATGATGAAATCCACGGTGCCATAGATCTGGCAGTCCCGGAAGAATTGCCGGTTGGCTCGGACGTAAAGGGTGTCTTGATTGGCTTCAAAACTGCATTGGAAAAACACGGACTGGTCGGAATCTGATCGGACCGCTATCGCTTGGTTTGCTTGTGGACCGGCTGTGTTTTTGAATGTGATCCCACGAGCAACAAAGTTTGCCCCTTCAACAACTGAAAATTATTTCATTAACAACCCAGAAAAAAAAAATTTTAAGACAAAATTCATTAACGGGTAAAGTAAAAAACGAAAATGATATTCATAGTGACAAGTACATAATGAAAAAAAAAAAAAAAAAACTACTGAAGCATATTCCATTTTTAGCATAACTGTTGACATTTTTCAGTAAAAATTTTGTTTTTTTTTTCTCGAAAATTTATAATTTCTTACAATTGTTTTGTACACCACTAATTTTTACTATATCTTTTTACTAACTCTATTATCAATATCCATAAGTTGGATGAAGAAAATGCTATTGATTAATTTAGAATCAGAAGAATGATTATAATAGAAGCAAATTGAAAACGGAATGAGATTATATGAAGAAGGTGAAAAAAACATAATACAAAAACCGAATGCTGTAAATTGCTCAAGTAATAAAAAAACAAAATCCTAATAAATTACTGTAAAAAAAAACAAAGAATAATGTATGAGTTTGACTTTACCAAAAGTAGCTGCCATGTTGCCTGAATGCTTATGGTCCGACCTTATGTTTGCAGCAATAGTCGTCTTTCTAATGCCATCTCCAACCATCACAACGTTATCGGTCCCAACGTAAACAACCTCTTCGTATAAACCCGCCTTTACATAAATCACAAACGTTTGTGTCCCACCATATTTTGCTGCCTCATTAACAGCATCAGTTACTGTGGTAAAATGCCCCGATCCATCCTTGGCGACCATCACATTATACCACGCATTCGAACCGCTCGATGTCGGAGATTGCAATAATCTCCGTTCGTCCGGCATAACCCAATCCGGAAACTCGCTGTTAACCCGGTGTCCGTGGTTGCACGCGCCGGCATTCAGTGCCAGCGTATTGACCGTCAGGTTACGTAACACATCGTCAAAGGCCAAGCGCAATAAGTTGTCGTTGGGGATCCGAAAATCGACGAATCCCTGTCGACACGCTTCGAGATTATTCAACGTCGTGCCGAGCCACGTTTGTATATCAAACGGAGTGACTTGGGTTTTAGGTTGGTTTGTTTTGTTGAGGAGTTTGATTGTGTTTTTGTAAAAATGTTGACACTCATTCAATGCGGCCGTTTCTCTTTCGTCACTGAGTTTTGGTATCAAATGAGATGCCTTTTCCGAGGCATTGGTAGCTCTTTCAAGAACTATTTGTACCGATACTTTTAAGAAATCGGATTTCGATAGGATTGGGACGCTGGCAAAATTAATTGGCCTGTTAGTGAAGAATTTTTCACATAGATCTGGATATGGGAGTTTGGAACACCATGGTTTTATTTCAGAACGTGAATAGGCCGAGATTTTTGATGGTTGGAAAAAAGAGGAAATCACAAGCAAGATTGTTACAAATGAGAGTTCCATTGCCTTGATTGGATTGTCTACAATATTGTTGAATTGATATGTAATCCAATGTTTATATATAACATCCTGAAAGACATTCTGTTTTGACTAAGGTACTGCAATTTTTTTATTTTTTCCCTTTGCAAGATTCGATGCAAACACTAATAAAACTATAAACTCCAAATCTGGGGGGGATCCTTCGGTGGTTTATGTCCAAAACTATATTTAAGAAGTTGTTGCATTTCTTTTTTATTTTTTTTATTAAAAAAAAAAGTCCTCAGTGTATTTAAGAAGTTATTACATTTGTAACTAATTGCACTTCAACTTTTATTTCAAGCTCACATCACATTGTAACGTTTCCACAGCGACGTAAATCAACGAAATCTTCCTGTTGACATTTCGCAGACTAGTACTTTAAGCTTTGTTGGGCTAGGATGTATAACAATAACAAACTTATTAAATGAGAATTTGTGTAATTGGCAAATGAAATATGTTAATGATGAAAATTTTTACTTTCAATTCACATTATTGGGCTAGACTAATGTATCTTTACAAAAAAATACTACTTATTTTCTGTGTCCTGAAATAATTATCCAATAATACTTTTAGTATAAGAGAACAAATAATTGGAACGGAGAGAGAGTAATTTTTAAATTATTTTTAATAACATAGACAAGTAGATGAAAGCTAGCATAATGTACCTATTTTCGGTAAAAGAGAAGAGTTTTTTTTCAAAAAAAAAAAAAAGGAAAAAAATAGTCATGGATGTGTGAAAGGAAGAAGAAAGCGTTAGCGTCAATAGATCGGATAATATGGTCTAATTGTCACTTAATCGAGATGACAACTAAATTTTTTATATAAGTACCACGATATAATAAAAACAAGCATATAACATACATAAATTATTTTCGAAACCTATTCCAATAACAATTGACACAAACTCGGAGAGATTACCGTAATACAATTTTGAAAATCCATAACTATGAACTCAAGGATGCAGAGAACAGAAAACGACACCTTAAAAATTACTCTCTCCTTTCGTTTATTTTCCAAGAAAAAGACAAGAAATGTGTTTGTTGGAGGCTATTTGTGACACATAGCTAAAGTCAAAGTTTGTTTTTGACTGTGATTTAAAAACAAAATAAAAAAATAAAAAAAATCCTGGAGATCGTGACTGCAGAGAGCTCTTTAACGGGGTTTATCCGTTATTTAGCTCAAGTGATACATTTGTGGCATGAACTAAGATGTGGTCCGATCAATAGTCAAAAGTCTAACTATACAATTTGAGCATAAGTTATCTCACCAATATCATATTTTATCATTTTCACAAAATTGTGAGTGATTCTGTATATAAACATCGTTACCTATAGAGCACAACATAAAACTAGACAGCAGAAGGATCAAAGGAGGAGCTGAATGAAGTGGTATACTCGTAAATATTGTTGTTTTACTTTTGTAACATTTAAAAATGTTATATATATATATATATATATATATATATCAACTGGAATAGAAAATCTCGTTTGAGTGATCAGCTAACTTTAAAAACTCTATTTTTTTTTATTTTATCTTTTATTACAGAGGAGACATATGTCTAAATTAAAATAAAACCAAACACATAAAAGTAGTGGATGGTAAATATGTTTCAGCCATGGTTTGACTCTAACATATGTATAGTTTGCTGCGCCTCTCATTAATTGGACTCAACTTAACTCCGGTGATTTGAGTAATTGACCTAAATTAAAACAATTTTAAAGTATTTTCGATTTAATTTTTCTATCGTGGAAACAAGCATATATAGATTGAGACACCAAATTAGAACTGCATACACATCAGCAACATTTGAGCATATGTTACAAGAACTTTATTAAGATTACAGAAAAATTCAACAATATTTAGAAAAGATTAAAAAAGAAAAAGTATATACGATACATAGAATCTGGCAAGATAATATTATTGCATTGCATTGCATTTTACAGGCCAGCGATGAATGGCGCGCCGGAGGCAGAAATCCAGGAACCGCCACCAAGTAAGCCACCAACGGTGAACTTGGACGCATCGGCGGGGCTCATGTTCGAATGAACTCCTCCCCACTTGACCCGGTTCGCGGTGGACGACCCGGGACCCGTGTTGGCGAACTCACCGTAGTACAAAGTTTTGAGCGCGAAATCTCCGCTCCAAGGATACCAACCGGCCGGTTGAATCAGGCTACCCAAAACCGTCTTCATGAAAACCGTCCGTGAGTATTCTTTCCACGGCCTCCCGAGGTATGTTTTCACGGAGCTCTGGTAGTCGGAAGCCGCCGCGACGGTGCACTGGTGGATGGAGATCCCGGTGTTCTGGTTCGGATCGGTTCGGCCTTGGGCGGTTAGGGTGTTGGTATGAGTCGGGGTGTTGTGCGCGTAGAGGTTACAATTTTGGATCACGACGGCGGCGTTTCCAAAGATGAAATCTACAGTTCCGGAAATGTCGCATTCCCGGTAGAATTGACGATTGGATAGGACGTAGAGCGTGTCTTGGAAGCCTTCAAAGCTGCACTGGTAAAAGACCGATAGATCCGAACCGGACCGGAGAGCCACGGCTTGATGCTTTGCTGCTCCGGCTGTGTTTCTAAATGTGATGCCCCGAGCAATAAAGCCATCTCCAGTAATTCCTGAGAAATTTCCAAATGGTTGGTTTAATTTAATATCCATGTATTCTAAGAAATCTTGTGATCCAAACTATTTTTTTTATTTAACATTGAAAATTTTACTACTTTATTAGTAATGCCGAGCTCCTAACTACTTGGCTCAACAAGTTTGACATTTGGATGATCTTTACAATTGACAACGACTTGAGCAACGACTTGCGATTTAAAATTGAGGAATGGGAAAAAATAAGAAAATAAAAAAAACTTCATCCATTCCGAAAATATTATTCAGTTTGGATTTTATTTTTTGTATAAATCAAATTACAAATGAAGATCAAAATTGAACAATAATTTTGAGACAGAAAGAATAATACATTAACACCCATTTCTCATTCTTTCAAGGGGAAAAAAAAACACCCATTACTCAAATTGATGAAAGGGTCTAATTTTTAGCATGGACGCATGGTGAGCTCGATTATTCATTTGATTGGGATAACAATAGACGTTGATGACTTAGTTGGAACTTTAATTTTCAAATTCCAGAGATTAAAAGCATATTAAAAGCATTAGACTTAAGGACACAATGTATTGTTACTCACCAACTGTAGCTGAGTTGAAGGTGGTAGAACCTCCACCAACGCTCTTGCTCCCGGTGATTATTGTTTTCCCGATCCCGTCTCCGATCAACATGATGTTCTTCTTTGAAACCTGAACATTCTCAGAGTAAGTACCCGCCTTCACATGAATAGTATACCTTCCGCTTCCGGGGGCCGACGCAACTGCCGCACTAACGGTTTTAAAGTTGCCGGAACCATCTTGCGCCACCACGACATTCGCCGTGGGGGACGCGGACTGCAAGAGTTTCCTATCCCTTCGAGAAATCCAATTTGGAAACCCGTTTGTGTATGCCGGGGCTGGGTAAAACCCGTTGTTGACGGCTAAGTTGTTACAAATGAGATTAGCAAGTTCCTGGTCGTGTACTAATGGCATGACATTATCGGTGATTCCTATATCGTGAAAACTATCTTTGCACGTCTCGATGTACGTGAGCGTCGAGCTAAGCCAAGTCTGCCTGTCTTCGGACGTGCATCCGCTGGTTGGGTCGACGGTTTTGTTCAACTTCTCCAGAATTAATCCGTAGAGCTGAACGCAATCGTTCCATGCAACTTTTTCTCGTGGGTTACGGCATTTCGGCCCTAATGAATAAGCATTTTTCCAGGACTTGTAGGACTGGTCAAGTGTGTGCTTTAATGACCATTTAAGGAAATCGGACTTTGAGCTGATTGGGAATTTGGTGTATTCTGTGTTGCTTAGGTAAGCTGACTTGCATGTTTCCGGGTAGGGAGTACTATCGCAAAATGATGGTACCCCGGATATGGGCACCGGAGAAACAAACATTAGTGCCACTAAAACTAAGCATAGTACTGAAATTGAAGTTTCCATTCCTTAATTATAACTTGTTATGGGATTATTGGAAATGATCAAACTGGGGGGATTAATTGCAGACTGTTATTGTAACGATTGTCATTTATATAAAGCTTAGATGTTACCTCGATTTCTATGTTAGGTACTATGTGGGAAAATCAGAATCTTCATATTTTCGGGTTTCAATCTACAATTTATCATAATGCAAAAATATATCATAAAATAAGTTATTTTCATGGGCAGTGTGATAATTTGTCTTCTCATATGATTGAGAAAGGCTACTGGTATTTGAGTTGATCTTTCATAATTGGGGAGGGGTTATTCTAAGTTCGCACCAAGAGAAACGCATTATATTTTAGGCATAAACTGAAAATCAAGTACGAACTGAAAACTCGAACGCGTTGAAGATTTGAAGAGATCGTTTGTTACACGCTAAAAAAATTAAAAAAAAAAAAAAAACACTGCAGAATTATAAACACCATCTGGGGAGTTGCTTTTACATATTCAAATTGTGCTGGACACGGAAGGCAATTTTATTTGGGTCAAACTTTGGCCCTTGAGATGAATTATAATGTTGAATTATTACTTCCTGTAATGTAATATAATAAATGGTGTTTCTGGTAGGCAGTCCAAATCGCAGGACCATTAAAACTTTCCGATGAAGTTCGTCTGTGCTTAGTCGTCTTATGGTTCGAAACAAGATGTCATGTAACATTCTTGCAGCATGAAAAGGAAATTTAACTAGTCAATTTGGAGATGCATGGCACGATTCATTCTATCACAAAAAAAAAAAAAAAAGATGACCTCTAATATTTCAAAACTGGTGGAATAATATTAGTTTTGGTTAATTTCGACTCTTCATTTCATGAAGAAAAATTACTCCCTACAAATTTTAAACTTCTAATTTAATTTCATAGTTATGATACCTCATCCTATCATCCCAATACACACCTAAGAATCTTATAATTATTTAAAGTTTTTGTAAGAACTTCCATTAATTGAATCTCATTGAATTTCTTAAGTTTTAATGTTGCTATCACATAGTCGTAATACTGTACAGCTGAGTGATAACATCTGGAATGTGCTAAATTTAGATCAAATAATGTTAAATTAATGATAATAAAATGGAGTTTACGCAATACATGACCATCGAAACTCATAAGCAAAAGACCCAAAAAATTTGATAAATGATTAACACAAAAACGTCTTCCGATGCAGATGACTTACCTCTCATCATCATTTACACATTTGAGGATCGAGTTTTTAACTTTTAATTTGAAGTCAATGAGTGTTGCTTCAACTCCACAAGTATATCATTATTTGATAAAAATGATATACTTCCATCGTAACGAACACTAATTAAGAAGACAGCTAATTGCTCCGATCTTAGACTCTAACTAAATATAAACCTTGTGATTGTATATATATATATATATATATATATATATATATATATATATATTGAGATGAAATTAAAGTTGACACCTTGAAAACGATTGATTCATACCGACAGTTTTAATGCAAATGTGTCAACAAAGTATAAGAATTTCATTGTAAGTTGATATATTGTAAAAATGGCACATTAATTTCTGGGGAAAAAAGTAGAAGAAAACAACGAGGGTAACTCTTCTTTTCTACCTTAACATTTTAATATTACTTTCATTGTTTCGTACTCCCTCCGTTCCAAAATGAGTGTCATTTTAGCAAAATGGAAAAATTTCAAAATAAGTGTCGTTCTCACATTTCAATGCACTTTTTATCTAAAGTTTCCAAAATTACCCTCGAAAGAATTAATACTATTGGTGGATATTTTTTTAGTGGGGTTGGTTGAGAATATTCAAGTAATTTATTACCCTATTTAAGAGTTTTTTAAACTATATGCAAAGTGTAGGATAACACTTATTTTGGAATGGAGGAAGTATGTAACTATATTCTCCTCATTTTTTAGACAATCATTTGGAGCTTGAGGGCGTACTAAGTAAAATAAATAGCAGCTATGTTTCGATTCATTTGGGGGTGTGAAGAGGTTACTTTTGATATTCTTAACAACTTTACGGTGTTAATATTGTGTGGTCTACAAGTTCAAAATAACACAACCAGTGGGAAGATAATTATCCCCTCGGTCAATAAGAGGAAATATTTATTTTGTTTAAAAATTTAATTATAATCTCAAAAGTCAAAATTTTCAAAAGACGCATATATAACAAAGTTTTAAACGTGATCATGTATAACAAGATGTAAAAGTATATGAAGTGTAGAAGTATACTATATTACTCTACCTTCTCGAATTTGTTCAGTTGAACAAAACGCTAGCCCAAAAAAAAAAAAGAAAAAGAAAAAAGGTTAGACCTCATCCAAAAATTAAGACTCTTATTATAGCGCTAGTGTATATAGAATGATAATTAACTAGCATAATTATGTATACAAAAGAAAAGAATTTGAAATACTACCAATTCTTTTCAACTATATAGCAACTAATTAATTCTATATATATTTTCTTTAATTCAAAAGTTTTTTAGAAAAAAAAAAAAAAAGAGGTGCCAAGTCTCCATGGGGAAAAAATGGCAAAATGCAAACGTACCGATCAATTTGATACTAGTAGTTAATAACTCTCAAGTCTTAAACCAAAGTCATTAAAAATTATCACATATAGTTCAATTTTTTAAGTTAATCTATTCACTAAACTCGTGTCATTATATTTAGGCCAGGTTTATTTGTGAAAACTTGTTCCAAAGTCTTCCGCCGTGTGTGGGCACATAAGCGTCATAATCCAACCGACTTGACTACTTCACAAAGCAAACAATTAATTAATTATATTTAAAAAATGCATAATGGATTCATTAATTTATGAGAAAGATTCTTTGCTTCCCATAGACCGTCATCCAATTCGCTTTGGTACGTCCTTACAACATTATCCATCTTATTAATTTCGTAATCAGTTATGATCATGGATAAAACTTGAAATAAATGGCTGTTTATTTGGTCGTTGCTCTATTGGAACCTAGCATTTGAAGAAGTAAAAGCTTTGAATTTATCAAGGTTGAACCAAGAAAAAAAAAACCAATTTGTAAATACCAACTTGAGTAGACAAACATGTACATTGTATCCTAGTTAGAGTTTATTTTCTTATGAATTTCCGACTTCTAAACTAAAGGAGAATTTTTTTTTTTTTCTGGGGCACAATCAATTTCTGAAACTTTGAATACTCTCTGAGTCTCACAATTGAAATAATGTTGTTTTTAGCGGACGGAGAGAGAATAAGAGAAAATCCTTTTTTCTTTTCCCCACATGATAGAAATTTTCAATCTGCAAAATATTATTTTTTTTAACATAAAAATAATTCACATTGAGTATTGATATTTGAATGAATGTAAAAGTTCAATATCAACTATTATAAATTTCAGAACTCAATGTGAACTATTTTTTGGGACAAAAGAAGTATATAATTATAAATTTGATGATGAAAAAAAAGAGAAAGAAGTGTATACTCATCTATGTACCGTAGAAATTTGCTGCTTCTTCCACATAAACTCTAATTTCTACTCGTGTATAAATTAATACAAGATTCCATTGACAATGTGGCATTCGACCTTTCATTATTTTATCAAAATTTAAATATCAAGTTGAGTAGGTCACAAGTTACGACGGCTTATCCTGACCTAATGATTGATTTCTCTAACCGGAAAATAAAATAACAAAGTTACTTACAAAATTAGAAGATACGCCTCATGTGTTGACCGGTCGGCACTAACCAAGCAGCTCGACATATACAGAAGATACGCCTCCACCGCGCCTCTTTGTAAGATTATCCGATGGCCTTGCCTATTTTCTCAGTACAAGTTAAGAAGGAAGTATATGCAGTCTAATACAACACTTTTAGTTTACCAAATTATTATTGTCCAGTTTATATTTTTAGTTTTAGTACAATTTAAATTAAAAAAGAGAATCTAAAATGAACAATAATTTTGGAATGAATAGAATATTTTGTTACTCATGTGTGTTGCATCAATAATATTTCCGACCATAATCTAACCTGCAATATTTCATATTTGACTTAACAGATAGCAGACCCAAAAAGAAACATTTTACTGTGAAAAATACGAAGTAAAACCCATCTTCATGAATGTTGAGACGTCCAGTAGCTTACAAGTTTCGCCAGAATATTTTACCCTATTTACGCTGAGTACCTTAATTTTATTTGTTCATTTACTTTCAGTGATATATTTATATATTATATATAAAGTCTTTTGAGATGTTTAGCATGATGCCCTAGGATCAATCATTAGCTAAGAGCATAAGACTGGAAAAAGACTTCCATCAATTTTCATAAAACTAAATGCTAGAGTCAGAGTGGTTTCCCCATGATTTCATGACCTATATGGCTCTGTCACAGAAAATGAAACTAAATTATGCCTCGAATGATTCGGGTAGTATAGAAAATGGGGGAATTTCAAAATTCATTCCTGTTTGGCTCCTTGAAAGATCAAGCTGTTTTGGGGCAAAAACACTTTAAAGGTGGAAATGGGCCAATTTCCCAGTTATAGGATCTTTGTTATACTGCGACTCTATGATTTGTTGGAAACTTTCTCAGATGGGAAAACGGGTTGGTGGGAATGCGGTCACCTAAGCTTACACCATTTGTATGGCTTTTGCTATTTTAATTGATTCCAAACATTTGTAAATTGTAATCCCCGCCTTGACAATGGCGATGTCTGTCGGTATCCGTTCCCCTCGTTTGATTAATATTTTTTCCGCCTGTAATAATATATATTTTAAATTTTATTTTTAAATACTCCCTCCGTCCTATAATTATTATCCAGTTTAACCAAGATGAAAAAATTTATTTTTGGTCAAATTTAATTATATTTTGGCTAAAATTTCCAGATATACCCCTTCCGGATCCCCAAATCTAAGTCTCTATTTTTCATCCTCTTATCAGTAGCCGGCAAATATTGACCATCTTTATCGACCAAGGAGGACACGTACTCCTCACCGGGTAACAGAAAACAAGAGAAAATCTCCTCTCACAGTTTTGATTGCCCAATGAATGGTGCCTTCTTCGATTCCAACTATCCTCAAACTCCTCCATTAATCCATAATTGATTGAAATTATGGGTTCCCCGTATTTGTCAGAAAGATATCTTCCCAGTATTCATTTTCGACAACCACCGATCACCTCGTTCTCACTGTCGCTTTGAGCCGTCGGAGTATGGGCTTAGTTTTGCTGCTTTCATTTCATCTTCTCGGTGATTCTTGCTCTTTCTTTTCCAGTTGTGGAATTTCATTTTCAAGCATCTAACTTTCAAGGCGTTGTTAGTACTCTTTGATTAGATGTTTGATAATCATATATTACAGAAATTAGTTGATCTTTCAATCCCGTAGATTTTGCTTTTTGTTTGTTTTTGTGGGATGTGATTTATGGCTTTATGACTAATGGATTTGGATTTTGAAGGACCAAATGAGCATAGATGAATTTTCTTTTTGAGTTCTGAAACTTGCTTTATTGAATTGTGTTCTGCTGTGTTGTGTGGATAAAACGGTTTCCAATCACTACATTAAAGGGCAAAGGTGTAACTTATTCTATAAAAAGTCAAATTGGACAATAATTTTGGGACAAAATTCTTTTACCAAAATGGACAATAATTATGGGACGGAGGGAGTAATATATTTATACAATATATAAATTTTATTTTATAAAAATTTAGAATAAATAATCAAATGAACCTAAATGTACGAAAGAAAAGAAATATGATTGAATGTTGTTGCCATCGGGTATCATTATAAATGGTTTTGATCATGCACTGAATAGTGTGACCCATGTTTCTAATATGAGTTTTAAATTTATCTTCACTATGATCTCGTAAATGACGATTATCATAGCACTTGAGGTAACGGGCAGTACTCGGTAGGTAATCATTTAATAAAATTTTGTAATTGCTAGAGGCTACAACAATATATGCATAAAATATTTGCAGATAATATTAATTAATTTCCGATATTGACAAAATAATTTGAGCTTGCATCGTGCGTAAGCGAGAGTAGAGTCTAGTTGCGTAATCTTTTCAAAACTTATCAAATTTAGCTCAGAAACATAAATTGTTATTGTTAGGAGATCAAGGTTCAAGCTTTTTGTTGGATTTACAAGAATCTTAATTTTAAAAAAAAAATCGCTCCTCGGGTCCATATGGTAAATCACGGTTTGAAAATGTGTATATATTCTTAGTATTCGATAAAAAAAAAAAAATGAAACACATTATTGGAATATAACACGATGTTGTGTATTTATTTATAATTCTTTTATCTGCGTCTACGCCTTATTCTCAGCTTTTAGGTTCGGTTTTACAACACAAAAATAAACACCGGAACAAATCCCCAGTAGATCCAATATGCGTCGACAAAATAGGCTTTTTAACGCATTTTCGGTGGCACTGGCAATCGGTTAACGAATTTCTAACACTTTCAGACATCATGCAAATGTCTTCAATTTTTTTATTTTTTTATTTTTTTTTCTGATAAGTTTCACCTCTTCAATAAGAAGACAACTAAGCTTATGAAAAAATGGCAATGTCTCGGTTGTGACACGTCCGCAACACTCTTGCTTATGTGTAAGCCTTCTTTTCACTTTCTTATATAGTAGACAGAATGAGGGAAATAATGAATGCCAAACAAACCTCTTATAATTTCATCATTCAATCCATCACTCACCGTTTTTTGCATTCTTTAATTCACCGAAAAATTTAATGGGTTCTTCATGGTTTCCCATTTCTTTGTTTCTTGTTTTACCCTTGTTCTGCAACTCTGTTTTTGGTAATAAACAAATTGAGTCGGTCCAAACGGCAAGGGATGGAATTCTGGAAGCCATCAATTGGGCTCAAGGAATGACGACCAAATTTTACAGTGAGGATGATGATGGAATTACTTCAAGCAATGAACTAATTAATATTGTTGCCATTGGAGATTGCTTGAAGCTGTATGAAGATTCTGAGCATTTGCTTTCAAGGTTAGTTTCTTCCAGCGTGAATTTCAGCCGTGATGACGCCGTTACGTGGTTAAGTGCGGCAATGGCTAGTCACCGGAGCTGTTTGGACGGCTTGGAAGATAAAGGGTTGAAATATGAAACGGAATCAGCTCGGAATTTGAGTAACTTGCTTCGTGAAGCTTTGAGTTCAGTAAAGCAACAACGACATTTTGGAAACTCCAGAAGCTATGGTAATTAATTCAGCTGTTCAACTTCTTTGTAATCAAGCATCCATTAATGATGCTGAAATTGGAAGCTAATTAAAACGTTTGTCTAAAACAGAGCAGTAAAGAAATTACAGAGTCCCCTGTTTCTTGTACTGTAATAACCTTAATTGTCACATGCATTGTTCTTAATTGGTTTCAGTTTCCTTTCAGGGATTCCTAGGATTACAGCTCAGGATCAGTTTTGGGGGGTTTTGGCATCATGGGATGCGGCGAAATGGAAAGCTGATATTGTTGTTGCACAAGATGGGTCAGGGAATCATCGGAGCATCAATGAAGCTGTTTCTGCTCTGGCTAAAATGGGTCGTAATAGACCTGGGAGAGCCATAATTTACGTCAAATCTGGAATATACCATGAAAAGGTGGAGATTGAAAGGAATTTAGAGAACGTGATGTTTGTTGGAGATGGAATGGATAGAACAGTTGTGACTGGTTACGGTAACGTTCATGATGGTGCAAGTACCATAAGCTCTGCTACTTTTGGTTAGCTTTTCCAGCAGTAATTTGTTTGTTTATTTTTGTGAAAATTAACATCGTATTGGATGAAATTTCTGAAGTAGTATAAGTAATTTGTGATACTGATTAGTGCTAGAGAACATCTGGTGATAATATGTAACACATGACGAGCTTAATTCAAAGTTCATGGAATATATGGAATATTTGTTAAGAAAGTTTTGTCTCCCGAAAGCCGAAAGGGACCTATCCGGCTCAAATCTGGATTAGACCAAATAATGATTTTGGATACCAATGATTTCGGATATCAGTGCATGATATAGAAAAAAAAAAAAAAAGACAAGAAGATTCCTGTCTGTCTTTGTAACACAAATACACAACAGGACGCGAAACTAAATACATGAAACTGGAATCTCTAAACATGAACATTTGTCGGGAGTTAGGTTATGATGGACACAACGATAGAACTTGCAATCTCCAAACATGTTTTTTATACTAGATTTTCTCTTTAATTTTCAGGTTTGTTTCGTAGAAATAATAGTTATGCCAACCTTATTGTGCCTCTACAATGCATAACCGTGCTACATTAATTCAAGAATTTCCTCCAATTGCATAAATAGGTGTTTCTGGCAATGGATTTTGGGCAAGAGACATAACATTCGAGAACACGGCCGGACCCGAAAAACATCAGGCGGTGGCACTTAGAGTGGCCTCAGACCTTTCAGTATTCTACCGTTGCAGTTTCAAAGGTTACCAAGACACCCTCCTGGTTCACTCTCTCCGGCAATTTTACCGGGACTGCCATATTTACGGTACACAGGATTTCATTTTTGGTGATGCATCCGCAGTTTTCCAGAACTGCGACATTTTCGTCCGGAAACCGATGGATCACCAATCCAACTTGATAACTGCACAAGGCAGGGACAACCCAGAACAGAACACCGGAATTTCAATCTTAAACTCCAGAGTTTCGCCGGCTTCCGATTTCAGGCCGGTGATCAGCAGGTTCAAAAGTTACCTGGGCCGGCCATGGAAAAAGTACTCGAGAACAGTGTTCATTAAGACGGATTTAGATGGTTTAGTAGATCCTCAAGGATGGAAGGAATGGAGTGGTGATTTTGCGCTTTCAACTTTATATTATGCAGAATTCATGAACAGGGGATATGGTGCTTTTACTGTAAACAGAGTAAAATGGCCTGGGTACCATGTTCTTCGTGATTACGGCGAGGCTAGCCAATTCTCGGTGAAGAATTTCATACAGGGACATTATTGGATTCCGGCCACCGGAGTGCCATATTGGGCCGATGTTTAGAGCTTTTCTGGAATCTGGAGTGTGTAGTATTCCACAATCATACGTATCATGCGTGTACTACGTTATTTTGAAACTAGATTCCTCAGTTCATTTTGGCAGCTAGCTGTTTATGTGGGATGGGACATTTTAATAAATTAGTATGTGATTTTGCCCCCATGCATCAACTACTATAGATTATAGAATTACTTATCCCCTATTCTTTTTGTTGATTGTAAATGTCTTTATTTGTGGTCAATTACATAGATCCATAGAGTACCACAAAAGTTGCTACTTCTTCACATTGGAAATAGTTGTCCGAGTTGGGATATAATCGGTTGCTGCTTTGACAGTTAAAAAATAATTGTCCGGTTCAAGTGATAATAATATTGGGTCAAGTTAATTATAATTCGGAATTAAATCTAAATATAAACATATATTAGTGATTAAAATATTTATTGAGAGATCTTTATCTCAGAAAAAGATTTATTCCACTTGAATCCGGATCAATTGCCATGACTTTAAACACTAAAAGCTAATATACCAAAAATAATTTGCCTTCATTTTTCACTTGTTCCTTCTCATTTTTCTTTTTTGTTTTTTAATATCTTAAGATTCCTAATGGAGCATGCATACATGATAAATTTTAATCATCTCAATATTGTGGTATCATTTTCTTGTTTTTGGAAAATTTCATTGTTTCAATGGATTGACTTCATTTACCGAAAATTTCGAAGAAATGTATGGTACACAATTGGAGAGAATTTTTTCATTTATACTCAATTTATTAACCTAAATATTTTCTAATGAAGAGATTTATTAGTCAAATTCTTTTCCAATATGATTAATGACCTTATCCAATAGATCAACTCCATACATAGATACATATATCGGCTTATTGTCGTCATTCTTGTTTCCTTTTTTGTTTGCTAAATCTTATACAATGTACTTGGACATGTGCAACACTTAAATGGAAAATTATTTGGATACCGAGTTCACATAAATTGATGATGATAATAATAATAATAATAATAATATGTTTAAAAGTTCTGATTATATATTAACCCAAGCATATGTTTTCATCTGCTTATTTATTTTCCTTTGTACATTCGCGAAAATTTCTTAGCAAATTGAGAGAAAAAGAAAACTAGTAACGGGTATATATACTGATATAATAAACTAAAATGTAGTGCATATATCTAGACTAATGTACTGTATCTCAATAGCATCATTTATTATCTGGATTTTTTTTCTTTTTGGAAACTTCGATAATATCAAATGATTGATTTCATTTGCCGAAAATTTTGAAGAATTGGATGGTAAATAATTGAGAAAAGTATTTATTATTTTTTTCATTTATACTCAATTTATTAGTCTAAATCTTTTCCAACGATTAATGATGAATGAATTTCTTGGTCTAAATCTTTTCCAATGATTAGTGATGAAGGTTCTCATCTGATAAATGAGGATCCATCCATGTCCACACATTCGAAGCCAAAAAAATTTTACGATTATTTTTAATTTTTTGTAACATTGATACATAGCCCTATGAATTGCGTCATTCTTTTATCTTTTTGTTTGGAAAGTCTTATATATACTTTCAGCAGGGAACCAAAAAAAAAAAAAAAAAACTCGCGAAATTAAATTAAATTTTTTCTAAAAAAAGAAGAAGAAAAAGAGTGTAGTATTTACTACAAAGAACAAGGAAGAGTTATTCGAATCGAGAGCTAATAAATTTTAAATGTAATATGTGTTTGTTTAGAGTAATTTTACTGAGAAGGGAAAAAAAACTTGGATATCGAATTTACGTAAATGGAATGAATATACATGTTATCAGGGTAAGTTTAATTTATTTAATTCTTTTTTAACGTTCAAAATGTAGTTGGATAATCTTAGGGCATTTTGTTGGAGCCGGGATTTTATAATTACCCTCTAATTATATCTTCAAGTCTAAGTCCTCATGAGCCATACGCATAACGCACTAAAAAAAAAAAAAAATGAATGAACAATTTGATTCGTGTCAAACTTGACCAATTTTCTGGTTTACTTCCTCAAGCATTCTCTTCATATGGGAACACTTTCCACCAATTGATCAATATTTGACTCGTGCAGTTTTGAAGTGTTGTTTTAACTTAAAACTCAATATCAACACACCTCTAATCTTTTTGGAGTTCCGCAACTTGTGTGTATCACATCACTAATGTCAACATAAGAATCTCTTATTCAGTTAAATTTGAAGACGAAATAATTGAATTACTCAAGAACCAATTATCTTATTGAAACAACAGTTACATTGTAATTGTTAATTCTTATTTTTTTTAGGACGAGTACGTACGCACCAAAATCTTAATCAAGTGTCCTAAATTTTCATCCATTTTCCACTTATAGTTTTGACGTTCAAATTAGATACTCACGTTATATTGGACACACTATCTACTTTAGGTAACTTATTAATTCATCATTTTTCCAATGTGATGGAAAATCTACCTAATAACTTCTATATAGACAAGAGCAAAACGTATTATATATAATTATTATATATATACCCCTCCTCCTAGACATTTCTAAGTGAAAAAAAAAAGAAAAAAGAAAAGATGACTTCGTCCTTACCAACCTTTCTTCTCGTTGTTGTTCTTGTTATCACCAATGCAAATGATATCTCTTGTAACCAAGATGAGCATGAGCCAATCCAAACAGCCCGGTTTGAGGTTTCCAAAGTCCTGAATTGGGCTAAGGGATTGAAAACAATGTATGATTTTGAATCCAACCTTACTAGTTTCGATTCATATCGTGCTGGCTTTGCATTGAGTCAATGTGTTATGATATACAAATTATCTGAGCGGAGGTTAACGCGGTTAGTATCATCAAGTAAGGATCGTTCCCACAGGAAGGCGATTACATGGTTGAATGCTGCATTGGCTGGCAACAGGGATTGTTTGGACGGCCTGGAGAGAAATGGATTTTCTTTTGATACAAAAGTGGCTCGAAACTTGAATATCATCCTGGAGAAAGCTCTGGATTCAGTAGCGGACGAGCAAGGTGTTACAGGCCGCGGTCGAATTGGTAAGCATATTGTCGCTGAAGAAATATTTTTCCGTAGAACGATTTTAAATTCATAAAATCAAAATGAAACCATCTATACTTTTAATCGATGAATACAATCTACTTGTAATTTTGGTATCTGTTCTTTTCCAAAATACTATAATGAAAGAGAATCAACTCAGTTATGTGATCTGCATTTTTGTATGGTTGGGAGACTGGGAGGAGGGTAGGGTTGGGATCGCGAGGTCGGGTTCAAATTTCACAGGAGCGATCCCATAAAGAAAATTTAAAATGAAGGGGAAAAAAAATGATATACCCCTAAATCATTATAACCTTTTCATTAAAGTGAGTAATGTTTAATCATGACAAAATTAAAAATTTTAATGAGTTTTCTTTTTTTCTTTTGTGCAAATATGCAAGGAAATATATGGTAAAATTAGACATCATGTTCATATATTGACTGGTTTTAATGTGAATTCATTGGCCACGAATGTGGTGATCTTATATTATACCCGTAAATTATTGAGAAAAGATAAAATGTGTTTAATAATGTTAATGATAAAATTACATGACTTCTCTCAATCGGTGTGTAACACTTGGGAAAAAGAAATATAAGATAAAATGTACTCCTTCAGTCTCATTTTACTAATACATTCTAGTAGTTTTTATAATGATACAAGTTCAATAAATGGGAATACATCGTTATATTTGATAACTTTCAACATATGTCATTGAACATTATTTCATCTCTAAAATTAACCCCTCCATGTTGTTGTTCTTAATTACTTGGCAGAGGCATTTTCAAGCATTGGAACGTCATCAAAAGGACCAGATTGGGGGCTTCTGGGATCATGGAATCCTCAATCCAGCAAAGCTCATTTCGTGGTTGCACAAGATGGCTCAGGGAATTACAATACCATCAACCAGGCTATAGATGCAGCCTCTAATCTGGGTCTAAACAGGCCAAATCGAATCGTAATTTACATCAAATCGGGTGTTTACAATGAACAAGTCAATGCCAAATTGACGAACCTGATGCTCGTCGGCGATGGCATCGATCGCACAATCATCACCTGCAATAAATACTCCGACCAATCTGGCGGTACCCCTGAATCAGCTACCTTCGGTAAGCCCAATTTTTTTTTTTTTTTGGTTTTTAACAAAAAAAAAAATTTGATATTATAGATGAGTTTTTGTGTAAAATGTTTTATGTTAATCAGTGAATATAAATTAAACAGGTATTTATGGAGACGGGTTTTGGGCTAGGGGAATTACATTTGAGAACACAGCTGGTCCAGGAATGCACCAGGCAGTGGCACTGTCTGTACGTTCCGACCATGCTGTGATTTATCATTGCAGTATGAAAGGCTATCAAGACACGCTTTTGGTTTGGTATGACAGACAATTCTTCCGGGATTGCCAAATCCATGGAACAATTGATTTCATTTTCGGGTATGCATCCGCAGTCTTCCAGAACTGCGACATTTTCGTCAGGGAGCCGGCGCCTGGACAGGACAACATCATCACAGCACAAGGCAGGGGAAACTCGTCTGAAAATACAGGAATCGTGATAATTGGTTCTCGGGTTCTCCCAGACAGCGACTTCGGGCCTTATAAGCATTCGGTTAAGAGTTATTTGGGAAGACCATGGTATGGATATGCCAGAGTGGTGTTTATTAAGACGTACTTAGATGATTTGGTGAGTCCGGAAGGATGGGGAGATTTGTACGGCGACTATCATTCAACGGTGTGTTTTGGTGAGTATGGTAATAGAGGGCCGGGTTCCGGCACACAAGATCGGGTCAAGTGGGAAGGGGTTCATGTATTCCACAGAGGTGCTGAAGTTAGTGCTTTTTCAGTGAGAAATTTCATTCAGGGACACCAGTGGTTGCCGGCCGCCGGAGTTCCATATTCGCTTGATATTTGAGTCTAGTTCAGTAAAGAAAAATCATATGTGTATAATCAAACAATGATGCATTTGTCAGATCATATGTGTATAGTCAAACATTGAATTAGTTGATAATTTATTTTAGTATTTCTGGGAAATTTTACCAGAGATTCTTGTGTAAAATGTGTTTGCTTCTAACTCAGAGATTTTCACCATTTCTAAAAGTATACTCAGCCACAACCTTTTCAATTTTTATTTTTATTTTTATTGGCAATTAGTTTGACATCTCCATGAATATATGACCCACTACTTCCTTCTTCTTTTCGCCCCCCACCCCAACCCCCCCTCGAACCCATAATTTTATTCCCATTATTATGTTATTCTCACAATTTTATTTCCCTTTGAACCCATAATTTTATTCTCAAAAGAAACATGACATGATTTTAGTTTTAAATTGTGTGTTTTAGATAGGATCGGAAAGGTATACCCCTTAACCTTCTTGTTGACGATATTGCAAAAAAGATAAATTTTAATTTCATTATTTTCTAAGGCTTATTAAGCACTACCTTAACCTTGAGCACTAATTATTGAAAAAAGATAAAATAAATGAAAAAAACACCCCATAGTTGGAAACTCAAGACAGAAGAATAACAAACGTAAAAAGTAAATTTGACTTTTACTATGAGAGGTAAATTTGCCTTTTTTTTTTTTTTTTTAAGCAATACAATGAAGGTAAATTTGACTTTTGTTGAGCCAGCGGTAGCGCACAAATACACACGCAGTGACGGAGTAATTATTTTCTGATTTTCTTCCTTTCATCAAAAACCCTAGTTCAACCCCTTCCCCCTCCCACTTCCGCAAATCTGAATTGGAGGTAAAATTCTTCCTGTCTTCTCTCTCCATAATGCCCAGAAGCATACTTGTTCCATAAAAATTTGATTTTTTTTTTTTTTTTTTAATTTTTGGTTGCCTGTATTGCTGTTCTATAAAATCCTATTAATTTCCTTTTGTTTTTTGCTGTTGTTGATTGTGAATGATCAGGTTTATGATGGCGGGAGGATCAGATTCTGTTGATATTCAAACTTTATCATGTGCTAAGTGTGGCAAACCAGCTCACCTTCAGTACGTGATCTTTTTACTGATTTATTCATATTTACACTTCAATGCTCGTTTTGAACTTAGCCCAAGTGTGTAGTATGAGTTGTTAGCTTGTTCCTGATTGATGGTCACGAGCTTGGACTGAGATTTTTCTGGTTAAATTAAGAAGGGCCTTTGTAAAAATTGAAATTTTTATGCTGCAAGACTTTAACTTTGTTGTTTTTAAAGTTCATTTTGCATTTGGCTTTAGAGTTTGTCTGGTCTTTGGCAGGTGCCCCAAATGTGTAGAGTTAAAGCTTCCTCGTGAAGGCGCTGCTTTCTGGTATGTATCTCCTGCCCGTTATGTTCCCCATTCTATAACACCCCTAAAGATTGAGTTACCTTGAAGTGGAAAAGGGGATGGGAATAATGGGAAAGGAATTTTTTTTCCTAATTCGTGATGAGAGAGCAATAGTTTATTCTGAAGATTGCGAAATTTACTAGATTTTGGTGTGAGGTTCGCTAGTGCTTCCAAAGAGTCTGTGATCTCTTTATTAAAAGTGGAATTAGGTTAAATTTGTCATGTAATTACTTGATTTGTATGCCTGCATGCTTTAATTCGGAAGTTGGTCATTTGCTAGAGTTCTGCCTTCTTAAAGATGCTTTTATGACCAGCTCGCAGGATTGTTTCAAGTCATCTTGGGGTTCACATAAATCAGTTCACTTGAAAGCAAAATTGTCATCATTATCATCTAGTGAGCAGGATGCTGTCTCACCTACCAATGGTTGGCTATATTGCTTGAAGAAAGGACAGGCTCGGACCCCAAAAATGCCACACTTCGATTGGACTGGGTATGTCTATCTAAATTTATCCTGCTGATTGTTTGATGTAATTCATTCTCTTTCTTTTCCAAAACAGAATTTATCTTCTATACATAAATGTTGCATAAATTGTTTGAACTTTCTGGACCGATTTCTAGTCAATCTTATGTTCTGATGGAAGGACTGACCACTTTTTTAGTAGGTTTTGTTTTTGGCTTGTAAATGGCATTTGCTTCAGATTCTAGTTTCATAAGTTTGAAGAGCTCCCCTGAAAAAGGAACCTTTTGTGTATTTACTTTCTAAATACTCTGCTGTGCAGTTATTTTCTTCATCATATTGGACATGGAAGATGGTAGTATAGAAGTATGATTCTTCCTTTCAATCTGATAATTTCTTTTATTGAGCAGGACTTTGAGGCCATACCCCATTTCAAAAATGCGCGAGGTACCTGCCCACGTTGAATTACCTGATTGGGCGTCTGATGTGAGTATTTCGGTTATTATGTAATAACCATTGCTCTTCTCAATTCTTGCACATATTAGTATTAAGTATACCGTACTTTTGGTTGGTATTGCGATATCATATCAAGAAGTTTGCTTTAAGTGGTTATGAAGATTTCTCCTTGGTATAATCTGAAACTTTCATCTTTTCTTACTACTCTGGTTCATAAGGTTGTTTGCTTTTAGCTTTTGATATAGATGGAATTTTGCTCTTGGAAAATAACCCTCCTTTTTTAAACGTTGTAGGGGATTCCAAAGATTGAACCAAATAGTAATCTGCAGCATGTTGTTGAGGTATGTTCTGATATAAGCTATTGTTCCCTGTTTGATATTACATGGCAAAGAGATGTAACGCGGGTTTTCTTTTGCTAATGGGCATACTTTAAAGATCAAGACTCCTGATCAAATTCAGAGAATGAGAGAAACTAATCGAGTAAGTTTCCGCTTATTTGTCATCATCCTTTTTTAAATTGTAAATGAGGTCTTTTTGTTTATTTTTTTCTTTTTTATTAAAAATGTCTGCATGTTGTCTGTTAGTTTGTGAGTTACACTTAGGTTCTATCAGAATTGTGATTGGATGTAGATGAATGTTTCTAAGAATTAGTATTTGGTGTCAATAAAATGGCATTGTGTCGCATCACACCCTTTGAACTGATCAATCTGGTAAATATGGAAGGCAGAAAACTGGAAGGCTTGACACCAATCTCCCTACTTTCAACGCTATATTGGGTTTGGAGATCCTTGAACCAGGGGAATTCAGGATTTAATTCCTTTGATAAACCTTTGATGGGTTGAATTTTTCCTTAAGGAAGCATAACTACTTGATCTAATATTTGATTCTAGAAACTTTTAGCCTGTAAGTAACTAGATTTACAGGTTTTTGGTGCATTTTTCAACTTACATACAACTTTGTATCTTGTGATGCCTATTGCTAGAATGAACAAAGGTCTATTTTTCCCACAATAAAGGAGTCTCTTTGCCTCCCCGCCCCTCTTCCCCCTCCCCCTCCCCTTTAATGGGAACTGAAAAACGCTTTTGATAACGTACTACGATGTAAAATGAATTTGTTGATTTAGATGCCTGTTTAACACAGATAGCAAGAGAAGTTCTGGATGCTGCCGCCCGTGTCATTCGACCTGGCATAACTACTGATGAAATTGATGCTGTGGTTCATGAAGCTACCATTGCTGCAGGTGTTTGAATTGACAATTATGATGTTCTTCCTAGATTTTCTGTATTAGCTTTTATATGTAAAATCTGAAATAATAATTTTGCATAGCCTTGTAATATTTTGTATTTCTTTATCATTAATTTTGCTTTGGATAAGGGACTCTTAAACATTATGCCTTATATTTATTTCTTCTCATCTTCTCCAGGTGCATATCCATCACCGTTGAACTATCATTTTTTCCCTAAATCATGCTGCACGTAGGTACTTCCATACTTACAAGTGAAACATGTTCTCTTTGTATTGTGGTCCTAGATTTAGAACATTACATTGCTCTTTGCTCACAGATCAGTCAATGAAGTGATCTGCCATGGGATCCCAGATGCAAGGTACTACTTTTATACTAACACATTCTGCATTCTCATGCGTAATCTGGTGCTGTTTTCTTCGTAGTTCATTATTTGGTTGTTTACAATCACCTCTACTGCCGCATTTTCACCTCTGAAACTGATGTGGTCCGTCGTAATTTTTATATGTTCTCGTTGGTATATTGTTTAGCCGACCCCACATTCTGCAATATAAGCTTGTTACTGGTGGTATATTGTTGTTTTTTCCCCCCTTCTATTCACATTCACATTTTTGTGACAGATTAAATGGAAGTCAAAGATTGTTCATAATCGCCTTTAGTTCCACATTCACATTGCTGAAACTGATGTGACGCACTTGTAAACATTGAGGCTCTCATTCTTTGTTCTTAAGTTGTTTCTCCTTGATCCATTCTTTTGTTTTCTTCATAATTGCATTTAATTGCATATTAACTATAAATCTTGAGTATGTTTGGTTTTTGGAATCTCTTGCAATGAAATTTCTTAATTTCCTTGCTTCTTACTTGCAGTATGGTCATTTTGCTCACTATATTGTAGCACATCATCTAGAAATAGGGAAACTGTTGAATTTTTGTCCTGTTATCTGGATTTTAACCTTGTTTGAAACTTTGCTTGGATGCTTATTCCGTGTACGTGTTTGTCTCAGGAAATTAGAGGATGGCGATATTGTAAATGTAGATGTATCTGTCTATTACAAAGGGGTCCATGGTAAGCTCTGAGTACTCGTGTTCTTTGATTTTGTTCGTGGTTGGAGAATTAACTTGTTAGCTTGTGAGTTTGCAGGTGATCTGAATGAAACATTTTTTGTGGGTACTGTTGATGAGGCATCTCAGCGGCTTGTGCAATGCACATATGAGTGCCTGGAAAAGGCAATAGCTATAGGTGGGTGTTTCTTTTGCTTTTCTTAATCTAGAGTTCTATCTATTATTGAATGACTCATTAGCATTTCTCGAACAGCAATGCCCAAGTGATGTTTTTCCATCCCTCTTATAGTCTTGATCGAATTTGGTTTTTCGTTGCATTTATCTTGACCTGTGTTGCTTATACAAAAAACGGAAAATCTCATTACCTGAAAATTTCTCTTCCACTTTGAGAAAATGTCACGCTTCCATTTCAAAGAGGATACAGTTGGGTAAAATGGTTTTGGAGAAATGCATATGTAGTCTGTTTATTGCTTTAGGATTTCTTGTGGTTCTGTTTCATTCGGTCATCTGGAAGGAGCTTTTTGGTTCTTGTTGATTTCTAGCAGTGTGTCTTTTCTATGGTAGTTGTAAAATGAGGGTGCTCTCCATTTTCCCTCTCCCTTTTTATTTTGGGTGGAATTTTTACTATTGTTGTTATTAGTACGGTTATTATTGTTTTTTTTGGTGATTCAAATTTGCTGCTCATTGATCTAATTTACAGTTAAACCTGGAGCACGATTTCGTGATATTGGAGAGATTATTAATCGTCATGCCACAATGTCCGGCTTCTCGGTGGTAATTTTTTGTTTCCTCTTGGGGCAACGATTTCCTTGAAAAATTAGTTCTGTTTCTAGAAATTTATTTCTGTTTATACTACTAATTTCTGAGTTCAAAAATAGGTGAAGTCTTATTGCGGCCATGGCATTGGAGAGCTTTTTCATTGTGCACCAAATATTCCACATTATGCTAGTATCCTAATAAAGCAGGTTTACGTGTTCACTTGTATGTGATTGTCGTTTTCATCATGATTGCTTTTGTTTTCTTTGCATAAAATAGATAACTCAATGTGGAATTTGTTAATGCCTTAATGGTTTACGGGAAGTGTAAGTTTAATTTGCTTGTCACATGGACATATATCATAATAAGTTTTCATTAGCTTGGCTGTATTCCCTTGTTTTAATAATGAAATTGGGAGCTTGTGTGAAATTTGTCAATGTTTACTGTACCACACAAAAATGGAAAACGAAAGTTTCAAACTGAAAATGACTTCACATCAATATCCATAGTGGTTGCTCGAGCCTGCCCTGTTTACATCCTTAAACTAAGTCAGGAAATAAAGCAGTTGGTATAATGAAGGCTGGCCAGACCTTCACCATAGAACCAATGATCAATGCAGGTAATCTCTATCGCCAGTTTGCCGCTTTAGTCTATAGAAATGTTTTAATTTTTTTTGGAAAATATAAAAATGTATTTATTTTAACTGTTGTGATGAATGCTTTGATAACAGGGGTTTGGCGTGATCGAATGTGGCCTGATGGATGGACAGCTGTTACAGCTGATGGGAAACGCAGTGCCCAATTTGAACATACACTCTTGGTGAGGTTCTTTTTGTTGTTGAAACTTGAAACTCATCTCTGGCTGAATGTTGAGCTTTGATTTCTGGGGTTGATTATATTATGCATCTTTAATTTTGCATTTAAATATACATGCCATATCAGAAGTTAGGCTTCTATCTTAGCTAGGCAATAGTTATCAGCTACTTACTACTGGTATTGATGCCATTTGAGGTCAATCCCAATGCTGAGCTAGTGGTTCAATGGCTATTCTGAAATTCCCTGTAGATTAGACTCAAAAGTGTTTGGGGTAGTCAGATTACTTTATGTGAGGAGGCAGGCAAACCTTCAGTAACTCAAACAGAATAAAAAATTCGGAATGTTTAGTTTCCCGAATTGTTCCAAGTATTGTCATCAGATTTAACTTCAGCATTGTTAAATGGCACTATCTGGGACGTTGGAAATTGTTTGGGTCGCCCATGATGCACTGAATGCTTTTGCGTCCAGGAACATAACATTTGGATAATCTAATTAGTAAGAGCATTTTAAATTTGAGCTGATAACAAATTTCTGCATTATTTTGTGGATAAAGAATATATTGCCTTCTGAGATTATGAGATGCATTCTGCAGGTAACGGAAACAGGAGTTGAAGTTCTCACTGCACGCTTGCCTTCATCCCCTGATGTATTCCCTTGGATAAAGTCGTAGGGCAGATCCGGCCAGAGTTGTTCGCAGCAACATCTTTTTGCTTAGGACCTGACGATAGGCACCCAATAATCTGCCATGCCTATGGTGAACACAAATTTTTGTGAAAAAGCTGTTCACAGGCCTTGCGGAAATAAGCTTGCATTTGTTTCTGCTGCGTAAAGCATACTACGAGCTGGAAGGCAACTCCATTACTGAAGGCTTATCCGTTGATTTATCTGAAATAATGATCTTACTAAATTTCAGACAATAAGTAGCTGTCTTGTAACTGCGAGCAACCCCATTGCTTAATAATTTAAACATTGTTTGATTCTGGGATTGATAGCTTGGGTTTTGTTTTTTCTTTTTTTTTTTTGAAAATGATTGGTTTTTGTTATAATTCATGCTTTTGTAACCCTTCTGTACTTTTTTTTTGGTCACTTCAATGGCTGTTTTGCTATTGCTCTGTGTTCCTTTTCACAAGTCACATTTTATGGTTAATGTTTGACTAAGGCTATATGGAGGGGTGAAGTTTTCAAATCCATGTCTGTTTTTGCCTTTTTGGCCTCATGCTACAAGTAATAGTAGTTCCCTAACACTAACTAACAAAGCCTCAGGTATAAAAAGAAATACGCAGAGACAACTTCATACAAATAGCAAGGATCAGTATGAACCAACAGTGAATCTGTGCAACCACACTTGAAGTGCATTTTAATTGATATAAAACCAGTAGAACATACAACATAGTTCCAGGATACAGGATGGGGAGGACTTCCAGCAAAAATTGGGATCTCCCTGACGTGAAGCAACTAGCTCCAATCCAACTTCATAAAGATTGTAAAATACATCCTCGAAGGATCTGCTGTTGAGTCATTGCATTGACACCCGAGAGCCGCTGCCGAGCTCCAATTTCAATGCCTGTATTGAACAATTCAGTCCCCCCTTTCATCTTTTTCTTACAACAAAGGGACGTACAGGTTCTTCAATATGGTACTTGAACAAGCAAGTGCTTCATTAGTGCACAGACTAAGTTGACGAAGCTGCTGTCGTTCTAGGTTCTTTATAGTAGAAAGTGGTGTCTATAAGCCTTCATTCGATTGGAAAGTACTAAAACCCAGCTGAATCAACTAATGAGGAGTATGATGCATTCTCATCCACTGTTGCAGGTCTCTGTATACTGCTCTTCTTTGTTTCACTGCTTGCTTTGGGAAGTTGACTAAAGTCAACACCAGCCAGTTCACAGAGTTCTAATTTCTTGCTTTTCGCTTCATCTAAGTCACCTTCCCAACAAGTTTCTGCAATTATTTCAAGTGCTTTGTCCGATTTCGGCTCTGCCACCAAACTTCCATTTTCAAGAAGCACAAGATACACTTGTTCAGCAGTAGCCTTCCGGATCTGCAAGTGTAAGGTGATGACAATGGATGATAAAACAAAGATGTTACCCGAACAACTCATTAATCTTCAGAAACATCAATACGAATAGAAAAGACATCCCAATTGGTAAGAGATACACGTGGACCAGTTCTCTGGCTGCATACCTTGGGGTACCTATGGGTGAGGAAAGTCAGAAGATGAGTAAATGCTCGCTTGTTAACGGGATCCAAAATTGAAGCAATAAAGCCAAGAATTGCAATCCCAGAGTACAACTTAGAGAAATCCTTTGATCCTTTCAACTCAACAATGAGGGATTCCAGAATCCTGGAACAAAAGATTGGAGTCTGCGCCTACAATAAATTTAGAAAGAGACTCTTATTATGGTGCAAAAGAAAAGCATACAGATGAATCTAAACCAAAACAATCACTGTAAGAAAGATAATTGACTAACCTCCATGTTCAGGAATATCTTTTTACTGAAAAGGATCTCAACAGTCTGAAAGAAAGCATAGAATGAAGACATTTAAAAATTTTGCAGAGTGTAATGGTGACAATAAGCTATAACTATCTAAATAAGAGAATGTAGCAATACAAAACGACTTGCTTTCATAATACAGGTCATCTTTCACAAAAAATAATGATGTAAGACGCAAATCACAGAGTCAATTCCAAATATATGAGTTTTCAAGTACTAGAGACAAAATCATGCCAGTACAAGTGTTTGAGAATTGAATTTCTGTTTCATCCATCAGAACCATGTATTAATAGGAAAACTTGAAGCTTTTCTCATATTTCTGTAAGGAAAATACTTATACTGAAGCTCATGTAAATTAAATTTACTCATAAAAGAGCTCAACTATAATAAATACAAAATTTCTGTTTTTCCAAAAGTACCTTTAATGATGGTATCATTACTCTGTCACATCTTCTGTAATTCTCAAGGATCCAAAGAACATCTTCAGAAAGGCTGATCTCCCTGTCTTTGGCTTCCTTTACATGAAGATAATCCAACAAAGCATTGAGTGAAGCCTTCCTCAGAGAATCTTGAAGTCCACCGATAGAAATGACCAACCCTGACATCACATATTTGCTATAGCAACTAAGCTGTAGCAACTGAACAAACAGAGGATACGAGAAAGCCGGTTCCTACATAATACCATAGAAAGGAATCTTTCAGAGTGAAGCTTCAACTGAAGCAATGGAATAAACAAACCGAAAGTATTAAAATACATATCTTAATCCATCTTACCCCCCAATCTACATCTGCTCCTTGAGGAATTATCTCTTCCAGTATCTCTCTGAAAGCAATGAAAGGTACAAAAACTGTGTTGTTATACAAAATTCTCTGAAGAACCTTAGCAGCTAAATCTCTTATCTTATTCATCTTCTCCGTTGCTTGTTTCACAAGACTGCCAACTAAAGTCACAGCAAGAGTTCCATCAAAATATGGATGCACTTCGTTAACTGTGTTATTAACTTCCTTGTGCGATTCAGGGGTGCATTGTGATTGACTAGGAAGGCCCAAGGGACCAATGCGACAGAGTATATATGTACAACTTTCAAGCCCGACAATGGCGGCCTCACGTACCCAAGAGCCCACATCACCTCGTTTGTCCACGGAATAATCATCCAGAGCTTTAAACAGACTCTGCATAACTTCATTCTTTAAAAATTCAAAAAGCATAGCAGAATCTTCGCCCGAAAAGGAACCGGAATGCTCATTTGCCTCGGTTAAAGTATGGCAAACTGCAACAAGCGCTTTCACCGCATTCACACGTGATTCAGCGTCCCGATCATTAGGATCATTCTGCACATCAACGAGCAAAAATAAGAGATGTTTCATCATTTGAAACAGGTTCCAAGGATAACTTCAAAGTGGCATGTATTGTCTACCTCAATCTCAGTAGAGCTGCAAAGCTTCAACAGCACATCTTTCCACTGATTAGCTAGAAACTCAAATGGTAATATGCCTATCGCGAGGGCAGACCCTCGTCTTGAAGCAACATTAGCATCGCTCAATTGTTCAAGGTACTTCGCCAGAATACCAGAATTGTTTTTATTTCCCAACCCCACAAGGTAAGCATGAATGAAGTGCTTCAGAGCTTCAACGGCAGCACACTGTCGGCATAAGGGGATAAATGATTAAAGGATCAACGATTTCTGGAAGGGCTCCCCTCCGGGATAAAATAAATAGAAAAAGGGGAAATTTACAATCAATAAAATCACTGCTAAAACATCATTTAATAATAATCGCAAGACCTGTATTTGAGAATTAGGATGTTTTAGATTCTCATTAAGAGTATCAAGCAAACTCCGCTTTATTTTTTCCGTCACGTTGACATGTGCCATGGAGATGCATTCAATGAACCGTGAAACAGCAGATCGCATAATTTCTCCACCTTTTCCACGATAAAGTCTAGCTTTTTCAATTGCAGGAACTATTCCAGAAACTTGCTTCTGCTTATCTGCATCATAGAGTTGAACAGGAACATAAAGTTAAATATTGTGATACTACAAGCAACTGTGTAAGACTCTGCAAAAGGTACATTGTACTATGAAACGATAAGAACGGTAATATGTTTTTATCATGTGAAGTTACTTAAAACCAGCCTGCCAACTGATGGATAAGTTCTACAACGTGGGGATAGTTACAGGAATCCGGAATGGGATAAGAAACCAACATAAATAAACAGTTGTATCAGACCTCACAATTTTGATTGAAGTTTCAGTTTGTCAAGATGAGTTTTACCGAGCAGAAAGCAACCAACCTATTGGAAGAAGATAGCCAAACTCATGCAAAGCCAAAACAACTTCCCCAAGTGCTAGTGTTGCACCGTGACGCATACACAAATCAGTTGACAGAGTAAGAGGAATCAATTTCTCCAAAACTACATCTGCAAAATATTCAGCATTGAACTTCACAAGAGCAGAAAGAGCATTGGTGGCGAGCTCTCTCAAACCTTTATCCTGTGTACATAGGAATGAACAGACAACTACAAAATTAGCCACATTACATTAAGAAATGTGAAACAAAAATGATCCAAATAAGAGAAAATCTTTCAAGGTAAAAACAACTACAATATAAGCAGTGTAACTTTTATCCTTTCTATGAGGGCTATCGCTTTCCACTTCCCTTCATAAAACTATAATTAGATAGAATCAAATAAGAGAAACTAATGGCAGCAATGTCCAGATTGGGGAGCTGATAAATGATATTCAACCTCATATAAAGGTCAGCACTCCAATACCTTTTACACCTAAACATTTAAAGGTAAAAAACAAGAATGTGAATATTAAGAAACCATAAGTCTGGGAATTTGGATGCTGAGCAGAAAGTACACAGAATTGTTTGAGAGAAGTAAGTGGGCTATCGTTTATGCTTAACAAACTGAAGTTGATTCGAAATCAACAGAAGATATCCTAAATAGCTGCAGTCATTTCTGTGTGGGGAAAACTCTCGGAATTGTTAACAACAAAGCCAGAGCACCATGCCCATAAAAAAAAAAAAATGGTGATGAACTATTTCCTTCCAGTAGGAAAGTTTATGGTCATTCAATTACTCCATGCAGAAAACATGAAGCTATATTTCCTTTTATTTTGAAAGAATGGAATTCAAGAAGCAGAGAGGAGCCTAGAGTACATACAGATGAAGGCCTTTTATGTATTAACAATTAAGTGTGGAGCAAACATACCCAATGACTAATCTTGCTATGCAACAATTCATCCGCAAAAGGATAAAGATAGTTATCATCCAATTTAGCAATCCCGACTGCAACATGAAGATAGGAGTTTACTCTTGAAGAGAGTGCAAAGTAATCTGCTGTATTCACAATATCAATCCCAAGTGGAAAGTTCCCTTGTCTGCCAACATTCTCCTGAAAAGCTGCCGCCGCTGCTCTTCTACAGTTGACCTACAAAGAGGTACCCACATACTGTCTAGAACTTTGATAATATTGCAAAAAATATTCGCACAGTATAATACCATTAATATGTTGATTATTGAAGCACCTCACGATCATAGCACGCAACAGTCAAAAGGTGGGGAGCGAGCTGTTCGAGTACACTTCTCATATCCGTGTGATAGTATGCACGACCAAATGCCCAGCAAACATATGCAGCAGCATCTCGTACATGGGATCCAACACTGTGCGGACCTCTTCGAACATCATAATGTAAAGCCTGTAACAAGCATTATATCAGAGTCCAGTAATTAAGAGGGTGATAGTGTAAGGCTCATTTTCTCCAGTCCCAAACATGAGAAGACATCAACTTGTAAAGAAGAGGAAACTGGAGACCACAACTGGAGAAATCAAAGAAACTCCGCACAAAAATTGTAGAAATCCCATGGGAGGGCAAAATTGAGTAGCATCCCACCCGGAAAACCTTGAATTCAAAGTTTTAAGTAAATAAAAGCACTCAAAGAATTGCTGCAATTGAGTACATGTCGACTGAGGTGGGTGATTTGGGCATAGAAACTTTATATTATCCATGCAATAATCAGAAGGAAACACTAACCAAAGAGAAATGATCTTCTTTTTCTTTTTTTTTTTTCCTTCTTGTAACTAGATTATAGACTCGGGATATTAAATTAAATATAATAAGTACCTATGCATAAGTAACCACAGCACCATATACACAAAGACACATTAGTCCAACCTCCAAACTATCCCATTTTGACTGTTCAGAATCTGACTTGGTGTTGATCCAAATTAAATTGGCAATACTACCTTTCATCGTGTGATTATTGAGAGAACAAATAAATCGTAAAACATATATGATCTAACACTCAGATAATTTGTTCAGTCAATACATGATAATGAAAGCATTCGGGAATGTGTTTTCTTTATATCATTCAACTCTCAAATAGTTTGTTCAGTCAATACATGATTATGATAGCATTCAGGAATGCACTTTCTTTGAATTTCAGCCTTTAGTTTTTAGCTGCATAGGTCCACTCATGCATTGTATAAAGACAACAGCGTATCTGCAAGCTCCTCAACAAAAAATGTAAGACGCAAAGCCCTAATTGATGATATTTACAGCACATCCAGAAGTCAAACTAGACAAAAAGAGCAAGAAGAAATAGGGAAGAGGGCCAAAGCTTAAACCTTCACTACAACAGGAACCACTTTGGAAAAGTTAAAAGGTAAGAGCAATCCTCTACGTGCCAATTCAGCCAAAGATAAGCAACCACCATGCCACGAGCCATCCCCCTGCAAAATGAGAAAAATCAATAATAGATTCAACACGACATATTACTTTGTGCAAAAGATCATAGAGTCCCACTGTTTGAGAGGGGTCATGGATCCTTTTTCCAACAAAGTAAGAGCTGAATAATTACATCCAGACCATCCATACAGAGTTTTGTCATCGATTTACCATGAGAATACAGAAACATTTAGCGTACTGGGCAATGTGATTTGCAGCAAAAAAATTATATATACAAGAAAAAAAAGAATGCGAGAAAAAAGATCTCCCAAACATTATATCTTTTGTTTAGGAAAAAGAAAAATGAAATAATAAACAAACATTCAAGGGACTAACAATGAATATTGCCTAAAGCACAAATGTGAGAAAAGTCCATTTAAAGAAGCACATGCAGAAGAATAATTTTGCTTCACTTCTGCCTGAAATAATTGAAAACAACAATCTGTATTTGACTCCCTTCATATTCATGAATGGAATAGTCAACACTATATAGCAATCTTAATGAAGTGAAAATTTTAATCATATTTCTAAATGCTTCGTCAATTCATACGGATGCAACTAAGTTCACATGAAGACATGATACCGGGCCCTCTATCAATAGCTTCGATACACTTGGCATCAATAGAAAAAAGGAGCATAACAAACCTCACTGGGTGAAAATAGCTCAAGCACAGAAGCAAGGACTTCATCTGCTAGAGTACTAGTCAAACGCGAAGTTATACGACCGATACCTTTAGCAGCAGACCAACGGACAACAGTATCCTGCAAATCAGGGTTAACATGTTAATTGAAATTAGAAGAAAAGAGTGGATCAGGATGTGCTTTAAAGAAATATTCCATGCAAGGCAGGGGATGAAAACAACCACATGTGAAAACAACAGTTGAAACAAAGGTCAATGGAAATGGCAGAGAAATTCAGTAACTGATGAACAGTTGCACCACCAAACATTCAACCAAAGATATGTAGCTATTTAACTCGCATATCATAACAGAATCTCAGCCATTAGGCATACAGTATCTCTCAGTCCTGACAGCAGCACTTCGATGATTTCTTCAACAATTTCAGGCACATCCATATCCTCCTCTTGAGGGCAGTACTCATCTTGATTAAGGTTCAAAGAAACCTTTGAAGCATCAGTCCCTTGATCAATTTTTGAGAAATTTGATGGGATATGCTCTCCAAGGGTGCTTGTTTTACCCTATAAAAATGCAATACGGGCTTTTAGAAATCAAAACTGACAATTTCTGTGAAACAGCTACAGCAGGTCTGAAATACATCTTTTCCAAAGAGATCACCACAACTAAGAACAGCAGATACTATCATAACCCAGCGGCTTAACATCTATGACAGGCATTTCCAAGTTTTAGTCGTTCACCAATCATTTCAAGGAGGTCTATTTGATAACATAAAATTCCGAAATAAATAAAAAACAACGCCAATTCAATCACTGAAGGACACCATAGAAGAGCCTTACACTCTGAAAAATTTATATCTGTTAGGCAGTCACACCTAACCTTATAAGTTCACATTTTATACAGCATCAAACCAAATTATAATAATAAGATAAACAACCAAATTTCTTCAACTGTTAAATGATGTCAAATTCAGTTATAAATTGGAGAGCATAATTGGAGAAGTAAATTTCAAGCTATATCATGGATAATTACAAAAGATGGGACGTAATAATCATATCATAGACACGTCTTACCACATAGCGCCATGATGGTGAACGACTAGGGAGGCAAGTAAGCGCAATCCGTTGTGTCAGTTTCGCCAAATATTTTCGAAGCAAGGGACTACGAGTTGCAGTATTGGATTTCATCAAAGATGATGCATCATTCCAAATTGTGGGAACCACATTAACTAGTAATCTGGGGCTTCCAGTCTGCAAATCCAAAAAATAAAAGAGGTAAAGCAGACAGTCTTTGGATTCGAAGACAAAGTATAGACTCCAAAAGAAGGCAAAAATTAGGATCCACATTTTAGACTAATTGTTGATGTATTTCCAAAAGCTGAAGAGAGAGTAAACATATTAGAGTTGCAGCTATAATTAAATTTGACATACAACTCCTAATAGCAGTGAAATCCAAGTTTTCCCTTCTTTCCAACCGAAAAAGAGGCCTTCAATGTCAGGAGACATTGCTATGCAAACTGATGATTTTGAGCCAAATGATGGCAATTATCTATATTAAAATGCCATGAGATTGAACTAACCAACCACAATATTAACAAATAAGCAGACTTCAGAACCAAACTACCGATGAAACATAAAAGCTTTTACACTAACAAGAATGCCTCAGTAAGCCAATGCAATAAATATGTATTATGTCTCTATCCACGGAAACATAACAATGACAAGAATCCAAATGTATCCAACTGACAAGGATAAAGCGCCATTTCTGAAAATTAAACAATGAACGCTAGCAGCATTTTTGTGGCACTGAAACCTCAATGAAAAGATTTAAAACATTAAAATTGAGAGAGAGAGAGAGAGAGAGAGAGAGAGAGAGAGTTCCTTCAATGCTTTCAAAGAAAAAGTGACCAATTAGACTAAATCTTATGCTTAGGATTGCAGTAGTAGGGAGCAAATTGACAGGGAACCTCTTGGTTTGTTGGTGCGACAACCATCAATTATATCTATTCCAACTACAACTATAGAATCATCCAATAAAAAACTACTTTAAAGCCCGTATAGTTACTGTAGCAAAGAAGAGAACCGCAAAAGACTCTAACAGAATGTAACAATTTATAGAAAGAAGTAACATTTATCAGGTGAGTTAAGAAAGGAACTAACAGTGACCTTAAAAATGGCAGCCAATGATTCTGTTGCACCCAATAATCGAAAATGATCAACAATATCATTTGACTTGGAGGATAAAACTTCATGGGTCCAATCAGTAAAACTGCACCGAAGAAATGACAACCGTGTAAAGGAAGAGTAAAATTAATACTGAAAGTAGCTACACGCCAACTATTGAACTGTAAATAAGTGAGTGACAAACAGAAAAAGAAAAGTACAGAATTTGAACAATATGATATTTAACAGCAATAAAGAGTTTGCTCAGTCAAAAGGAAACATTCCACAAACACTGATTCAATCTTTTCCATTCTGGAATGTTAATTATCATAAACCCACGTCCTAAATCTCCTTAAAACAGATGAAATTAACGACACCCTTCATTCCCATTCTCTTGTCAGATTACCTCATTATAACGTCTCCGTTGTTCACATTATGGTATAAGAAAACTATATTTCATTAGCTATATTAAAAGAAGATGACTGAGAAGAAAACTGAGGCAGGAAGGGGCTGAGTGTGGAGGAAGTCATGAAGAAACAATAAAGGAACATAAAAAATGAGACATACAACTTTATTTGAAGAAATCAATAAAATTTGCACAAAAAATTTAAATCCAACAAGATGATAAACTATTCTCGAGAACCTGGAGAAGGCATTCGACATATCCGGGCGAGTCAAAAGCCTTGAGAGCAATAGTCCAGCTATAGTACGCATAGGACCTGAACTTGACAGGTAATCTGTAGAGAAGCTTAATATCCTCTGCACAAGGGGAGGTAACTTGTCTTTGTCCAGATTATTAACATCGGCCATACTAGTATCAACAGATGATAAATCAAAAGGAATCAACACAAGAATGGAAAGCCACAGTAAAATCACACATTTTGCTTCCATTTCTCCAGTACTTTCTTCCCTTAGAGATGTCCCAGAATCTTTGTCGTGGCATTTCTCTAAGAGAGAAACCGCAAGTTCTAAATCCGAAACTTGATGTGGGAAAAACTTGATGACGGCCTTGTAGCCACACACAGTTACAACAGAATAAATGACAATGCATAAAGGCTTGATCACTTGGAGAATTTCATCTGAAGTCACCCCGAGCTCAATGGCTTTAGAGCGAATAGTGAACATCAAAGGAGGAACAATATGTTCAAGGTATGGCTCCAACAGTTGACTTTGTTCTTGATACCGGTCCATCTGAAAAAATATGAATCTTCATAAGTCAAACGACCCCTAAGGTACACAATAGCACCAACAAAATAAACTAGGAGTTACTTGAGACTGATAGTAAACTTTCTCCTAACCATGCACCATGCCAGAGTGACCATTAAAATACCAAGAGTTGCTAGACAGTCTTCAGATTAAATTTATAGCTAAACACTATATAGCTTCTCAAGAGTCCACAAATAAAACTCGAATGACTAAATTTAAAGTGTACCACCATTTGCATGAGGGCACAATATTGCATTAATTAAAGTGAGAAGAATGCAAGAGCCAGGAAAGTCACAACATCTTTGGATAGAATTGTGGTCCAGAAAAACATCTTTACCACTTCAAGACCTAGCACCTTGTGGCCTTAACAATGGCAACTTCTTACCAGCAAAAGTTTATCTAATCTGTCAGAGTGAGACTTTTAACGAATGTGTTTCATACAAGCTCCTGGAATCAAGTTACTATATTGTAAAACACAGTCATGCCTATATTACAGCAAAATGAAATCTCTCATTCAGAAATCATAGATTATATATTATACGTTTTCAAGGTTCAAAAATAGATACTAATGCATCACCGTTGTAATGCATTTACCTCATACATCATTAACTAATAGCAAAACCTAAATCAGTCCAACTTTCTCCCGAAAAGATTATTTCCAAGGAAAAAGGAAAACTCCCCCATATAAAACTACATAATTCCCTTCTACACATTCATCGCCGAACTCGTGCTATGATGGAAAACAACTCCCATCTCAAAACCCATCTTAGATAAAATACACTATTTCACCAGTGACATTTGATAAGAATAATAAAAAACATAGTTTTATGATTAGTAAGTTCAAATGTGAACACTAAGCACAAATATTTCTAATTCATTCAAACAGACCACATTGCAACGAAACTAGTGTGCGTGCGGGTAAGGGGAAGAGAGCGTACAATTGAACGGATCTTGTGGACGGCAGAGAGTTCGACGACACCTCCAGCGGAAATAACATCGTCGAGAAGGGATTTAAGGATCTTCCATTCCCGGAGAAAGTATCTCTGGAGTACGATGTGACACGTGTCCCGCTCGTCGTCTTCGACTTCTCCTCCTTCTCCTCCATTTCGTACTACTTCTTCCGGCGCTACGTTGTCGCTCGCCATTATTGTAATTCTCAAGCTCGAATTGAAGAAGAATAGGGCGATTCAGGAAGGAAAAACAAAAAGGGAAAAAAAAAATCAAAGAAAATTTGGAATCTAATTTGATTTGAATTGAATATATGGTGTGGGTTTCCCGCTAGCATTTTGTCCCGATCCAATCCACTTAGGGCCCGAATTAGGATTGCAATTTAAGCCTGCTGAGTCTCAATGGATGGGCTTTAAGAAGCTGTCTTTCTTTTTCATTTTCTCTCTTTTTTTTTATTTTTATTTTCCTTCTAGAGCTAATTATCAACAAAAAAAGAAAAACAATAGTAAATAGATCATAAATAGTACTAATATTGGGATGTTAATTTTTCAAAAAGAGTGATAATGGTATCCAAATGAAAAAAAGGGAGTGGAAATAGATTTACAAAGCCATAACGGTATGAAGTTTTTAACTAAGATATTTCTATTTTAGGTGCATGAAGTTTTTAGTCCTTAAAATATTTTTCCATTTAACTTTTGTCCTTATTATTTTTTACGTGCTATTCTTTTGTTGTTTGTCTCTTTACTGGAGAAAAAGAAAAATCAAAATGTGTAAATGAATTTGTTGGATCACTTGCGGTTTGTTGTTCACCCGAGAGGTGTTTGTTGATATGACGATTCTTCATTGCCCGTATCTCTTGTTCTATTTGTGTTAAGTTATTATTCGAATCACTTAATATTTGTTTACACACTTGAACCGTTTGCAGATGAAGCAGCATATGCCTGAAGATTGGATCACTCAGCTTCCAAATGATACTCTCTGTTGTATCTTGTCATTTCTAACGCTCAAAGAAGCTGGCAGAACAAGTGTTCTGTCAAAAAGATGGGAGCACGTGTGGAAATATGTCACTGAGCTTGACTTTAATGCAATCACTCCATTATTTGATTTGAGGCCGTATCCGAGTCTGAGTACCTGACATTCCTTGAAAGGGAAAGGTACAAGTTGGTTTACCTGGGTGAACAGGGTGGCAGGGTGCTACAGTCCCATCAGACCTTGGTGTTGAAGAAATTCAGAATCTATATGGATCTGGATGATTCTTTTCAGGTGTATCTGAATAAGTGGATTCAGTATGCATTTGACAAGCGAGTTGAGAGGCTGGAAGTGAACCTTTCACAACATGGTCCAGGTTCTCTCCCCATCTTTGATAATTGTGTTTTCCCTTCTGCTTTTGTTTCTCAGATAAGTTGGGACTCTCTTAAAGTATTAGTTTTGAAACGTGTCCAAGTCTCTGGTGACACTCTTGAATTTATTTTGCACCAACTGTAAATTTCTTGAAAGTTTGTTGGTGCATCGTTCTGGAAGTCTAAACACTTTGCGAGTTTGTGGCCCGTCTCTTGCATTACAACACCTGGACATTCGCTGGAATTTCTTGAAAACCCTCACCGTGTGCAACGCTAATAATCTTATCTCGCTTAAGATTTGGTCGCCACTTGAATTCGTGCTTCATAGTGTCCCCCGGCTTGTTCATATTCACATTCATGGTGTGAAATACGAGGCTGAGGATTTGTTAGGTGGTTCTCATGTTGCTGGACAAAACTGGAGGTTCTTTCCTTATCGCTGCATCCTGAGAAGGCGCGAGAGGTATCCATATTGCTCAACGTGTTATTGGAGTAATTTTCTTTCCATAGTTTTGCTTATAGGATGACTTCCTGAGTTGTGTTTAATTATTTGCCAGCACCTATTTTGAGCCTTTTTTGGTTTTGTCGTCCCAATATGTAGAGAAACTTCCTCAGCTATCTGCATTGAAGCAGTTGTTTATATTTTTTGATTTATATGAAGACGAGAGCATCTTTGGACTGATTGAGTTCTTTAGGGCATCACCAAACCTGGAGAAGCGCAGAATAGAGGTAGCGGTTATATATGAAATGTTTCTTTTCTCTTTTCAGAGCTTGTAGACCAGTTGTTCTTTTAATAATTTGATGTTTTCGCTCTACATTGCATCCTTTTAACGTCTTCCTCTTTCAATTTTGTGGTGAACTGGATTGTGAACATGTTTTGTTATTGCAGTTGAAATACCCAATTGAACATTTTGTTGTTGCAGTTGGAATACCCGATTAAAGGCCTTATCGGTAGCTGCAGAAAGTCAGAGAATGTTGTAAATGACTGTGTCCAGCATCTTAGAGTCGTTGAGATATGTGGATATCGTGGCCGCACAGTTGATTTGGAACTTGTGAAGTACTTCCTTAAGAATGCAATTTCCCTTGAGAAGGTAATTATTGATCCACGACGTCAATGCGATTCATATATTGAAGAACCTGGGTTTGTGGGAGTGGAGACTCGTACTCTGGCAGCCGAGATAACAAATGATGGCCGAAGGCTTGCTAAGCTGCAACTCTTGGGTTTAATGCCTTCGGGTGTTACATTAGAAATACGGTGGCTCTGAACACCAGATGATGGTCAGGACATAGAAGCTAATGGTGTTATGGTAGACGTTATAAATTTTCTGTTGCGCAGGTCCGATATGACATTTCACTTGTGAGTGATATCCTTCGGCCACTGTGTAATGCACTGAAATACTACTAACTAGTTAATTAGTTAAGATGGATCTTCTGTCTGCAGATTTTTAGTGGAAGAGGGAATTTCTGTCTGCATATTAGAGCCACGGATCGATGAATATTTTCTCCCAAATTGCAAAATTTTATCCATGAAAGTTCAAAAATTTGAGAGAAAATACAACATGTGTTCAAAATTAACTTCAAATTACTAATAATTCTCGGGCTTGATTTCCAATGTACACTTTATTTAAAAAGCGCTTCACAAAGAAAATATTGTCTCCGACCTATTGTTTTAGTTTAGCAAGAGTGGATTACCTTCTTAATTCCAAAATTATTGTTCTGTCTAGATTTTCACTCTTATGAATACAGTTCATACTGAAAATGAAGATCCAAACGGAAGTATTCTTTTCAGGACGATAGGACTATGAAACTTGGAGAGCGTAACTAATTAAGAGAAGCAGATCAAGTAGTCTAAAAAAACAGAATGAAAAATAAAAATAAAAAGAATACTCTAAATCAAGTAAAGAACTTTCTCATGTGTAATTTCAACTTATTGTACAGGGGAAAGATTAATCCAAAATTTTGTATTCACAGAACTTTCTTTTTTCTTTTTGACCTGACAACAACATTACATAATGTGTTAGTTTAACACACAGTACTATGAAAACAGTTGACTTTTCCATAATCCCATGCATTACTTCAATCATCAACAACATAAACACAGAGAGATCCAGAAAGAAAACGCCACCGATCAAATCAAATCCATCATCATCATCTTCTTAAGGTCTGGAAGCTCGATGTCTCTTGGCGTATCGGTTGAAGAAAGCCAAAGCATTACTCGTAAGCTGTGCCAAATTCAACACTTTACTTCTGATGGTGGCTTTCAGCTTTCCTCCCATGGCGTGACCCGAAAACCCGTCCATACAAGTCAACGCATCCGTTTGAGCAGTACTGAGCCAGCTGTTGATGTTACTCTCATGCCAGGGGAAGCCATTTTCCCTGTCAAGCGTCATTTTGCCTAATTCTTTGACTGAATTCGTGAGCTGATTCACTCCATCGTTGATCTGTTCCAAGCAGTCTCTGACAGCTGGATAGTCTCTGGTTTTCTTGATCTTCAGATCTCTGGCAACGTTTGAGATGTATCTGCTGGTTAATCTTGCCCGGACTAAGCTGACCCGTAAAGCCAATCGGGCTAGTTCTTCGGGTGTGTGGGTTGTTGATGAAGGGTTTGCGAATTGGAAGTAAGACAGAGACTCAACACAGAGTTTGTAATAATGGGTTCCCTTGCATTGTTCTTCTATGAAAGAAGAAGACCCGGATGAGGATCTTCTGTGATGTGGATGATGATGTTGATGATGGGGTGGCAGCGGCGGAGGCGGTGGCGGAGGCGAGATTGATCTTGCAGCTGCTGTTGAAATGATTGTAAGGAGGAGGAGAAGAAAACAGAGACTGAATTTTGCCATTTCTTTTGTCTCTTTGTAGATTGGATCAATATTAGTAATCCCTTTTTTTTCTATTGTGAGAAGAGTGTGATTGACTTATATAGAGAAAGATGAATTTCTGATCAGAATACATTTAAAGAGTAAGCATCAATTCACATGCAGAGCTCAGTAGTTAATGGCTATCTTAACGTTTGAGATGCACGTGCATTGGGGAGCTTCTAAGAAGCAGGGTGAAATACTGAAATTCCTGGGTTCAAAAAACCAGGATTGACGATGAAGTATATTAATGTTTAAGGTAGTAAATGATAATTGTATTGATGAACAATTTTTAAATGTTGAAACTCGACAACTTGGAATCAGCCATAGATTTATATACAGTTGGAAATTATAAAGAATAAATATGGTGTTTTGACCAAAGCCAGCACCATGCTTGCTGATGAGCAGCTAGCGGCATCGATGGCTGCGGCAATTTGTCGCTTTAGGAATATCTGAGGAAGAGCAATAAACATCTTGGCTGGCTTTGATGAGCTAATGTCTCAGATTTCTAGAATCTGGTACAGACCATTTTCACTGCTGGTCATTTTGGCTGTAGAGCTTCAACAGCTAGCAAATTCCCAATTCAACAAATCGTGATTTCTGATCTTTTATATATTTCCAGGTTTGATTTTAGTACGGTTAATGTGGAGAGATTAAGAATTGTCTACCGTTGCGCAGTAAATATGAATTGTACAAAGCGAGCACATGTTATACTCAAACTAATTTTCGTTAGCATAAGCCAAACTACTTCAAAGGAAAAAAAAAAAAAAGAAAGAATGATGATGGAAGATGGTAAAATATTGATTTAACCCAAAAGAAAGTAATGTATTTAGGTTCTCGCTTGCTTGATGTGGATGTAACCAAAGTGTCCTTTCCTTCAACCGACCAAAAAAATTCAGCATTAGTTAGTAATTAGTATTATGTGTTAATCTCCAAATCTGGTCATGTGCTGAAACCCACAGAGAGCAGATTTGGTGGTCCTTGCATAACGCAACATGCAAGCTAGCATAGTCAACCGCTATAATCACTATCACCATTTCAAGTGGCACATTTCCTTGATCTGCAATAAAGGTTAAAAATGAAGGCTTTTTAATAACAATATGTTGAAAAGCCAAGAACTACCAAAGAGACTCTAGCAGTGGGATGAAGTCACCACGTTCTCCTCGCCAACCATCCGACGCAGCAGCATGTCGTTAACATGGTAAACTTCATCTGAAACACTGACTTCTTAGCTAGGAAAATATCTAATGGTTGAGTCACAGTTATTGCAGCAACCAATGTACCCAAGGTGCTGTTTCCGCTCCGTGTGGAAAGATGTCAAATAATGGTATCTACAATAACTCGTTAATCGCTATACAAAGTCACTGTTACCGTATCACTGTAAAGAACACTACTTCTAAAAGAAGCAAGAATATAATTTGGATGGATGAAGTCAGAAATACACATCCTATACGCCCTTAGGAGCTTCAAGTGCAGAAGTCAACCTTGCAAACTAATATTACAACATGCAACATATTTAACATATAACAATAATAAAATATGTGATTACCACATATACACATCTTGAAATAACTACAGAGCCCATTGCAGAAGTCATTCAACGACTTTAATACCGGATAAGTAAACTTGACACTGGATGACACTACCCCCAATCCAAAAACCAGGCATAACCATCAAACCAACCTTAGGCTTTTCATTGTTTTCGTCGACAGTGAAATTTTTCACTACACAGTCCATGTAGACTTCAGAGAACTCGTTCCCCTTCTTGACTTGAAACACTTTAACTGTAGGGTCAAAGGAATTAGCCAATCTATGCAAAAGCCATATAGACTTGGCTAATTTCAGAAATGCCAGGTAGAAAGGAGTCCTTGGATGTCCACCACCCATCACATAGTTTCGTTGATCAAGGTTACCAAAGAACGATGCCTCCATCTTAGGATGAACAACGATCAGGTACTTGCTTCGACAAAATACCCCAAAATTAGAATCCGGAGCTTGTCCAACAGAATCTAGCGGGTCCATTTCACGTAAGGCAAGATATTCACGGAAAAAGCTTTCTCTATCTAAAGTTGTACTATCATGTTTCAAAGAGAAGTTCTCATCCTGAAAGCCACTGAACATCCGTTGGCAAATATGGGCTTCAAATGCATATTTCTTGTGAGCTCTCTTAGCATAGATGACATCAGGCTCTATTGAGTTTGCTGCTGCATCAAGATCCCAACCAGCAGCTTTCATCATATTGATCAATGGCTTCGAAAAATCATGGATGGATCTATAAGCAGCTTCCACAGCTGACTTGAAAAGGTCTGGTGTCAAGTCCATAGAAAAAAGGCCACTTTCTTCACCCGAACCTTCTGATTCTCTAGCAGACAATCCTCTAAGCTTGAGATTTTTCTCCAGTTTAACTTTTTTCTGATTTGCGTCCTGGATCTGCTGCTGCAATTGGTTGATCTCAGAGTCCTTATTCTGAATCTCGGACTGAAACTTCTTCACCATGACCTCATAAGTCTTTAAAAGACTCTGCTGTTCCTGAATCTCTGCAGCTAAGCGTGAGTCTTGAGGAGACACGCATAAAGGTTTTGGATTGTGCTCCCGGTAAAAGTGCTTCAGTTCAGAAAGATTCTTAAGTTCTGATATCACAAGTTTATCAGCAGCTTGAATTTTATCAGGGTCATAGGGAGTATGAGCACTTTGGAGCTGAATGTAGGCTGACTTTAGGGAGGATATGTTTGTGAAAATCCTTGAAATCAGTGCTTCAACTGCTTCAGGATTCTGGTTTGCCTCTTCCATAGGTTGGGGATGGACCTTCTGATTGTTGTTCTCACGAAGTTGGGTATCTTTACCACCTTTGGTTTGCATATCTGTCTACCTCCAACAGGAAGGATACTAACTAAACTTTGGCCTATAGACAAAAGTTACAGCAACAAAATCAGTGTAGAAGAGGAACATCAAAGTTGAAATCCATGTAACAATTATAAAACACGAGAAACATGCAGGACATTGCATATTTTAGAAATGTCTCACAAAAGGAAAAAATACAAAATAGATAACAGAACAAACATTTCATGCATACAAAGCCAGAAGTATTCAGATAGTAAAATTTCCTCTCACCTTTATTAACCCCACAAATTTATTGCATACACTCAACAATCAAGGTGAGAGGAAAATTACTAATTCTCAGCTTTAACGGACTTTCAATCATAATACAAGCTAATAGTTATTATTTGAAATAAGAAACTTTCAGAAATACACCAAAACACACAGCTGTAAAGAACACAAACCTGCAGCGGGATGTATCTGGAAAGCATAATACTTTCGACCTGGCGGTGAAAATAAAGCGGATCTTATTTGCTACTTTTCCAGGGCGCACCTTTTCCTGAACCGTAACAACCCCCCCAAAAAAAAAGATCAGCAAAAATAAGACATACGAATATGGATCTGGATCTGGAGGCAGTTTAAGAGCAAAGGGTAAATAATGTGGGCTTCCTACCCTATGAGATAATTGGCAATTACATCAGATCAAGAGTACATGTTATTTTTTACAAACTGCTTCAAATTAAAAGGTGTTTTCTGGAATTATGGTGTACCTAAGCGCGTGTTTCAAACAACTTTTCAATGAAAAGAAAACAACTTGAGAATCCAGAGGGGCTAATGTCACTAAATGACTTTACAAATGTCCTACTCCTCAGAAGGCAGACAAGTTTAAATCCAAATTCAGGCTTAGCTGCAGACAAAAATTCTTAATATCAAATGATTTCGTGATCAAGCAGATGAAAATTATTATTTCAGGCAAAATGCTGTGTACCACAGTGATTTCCATACTGACTTTCTGGTCTTTACATTGGGTACTTGTGAACGGCCCTTTCTTATGATAACTACTCTTACATAACCAGGTTCTCAACTTTAGCATCAACAGAGCTCAAAGAGCTCCCAAACAGCGCAACCGTACTTATCTTTTCAGGCATAAAGAGTTCTTTGGAAGATGTTGCTATTATTGATTATTCACAAAATCACCATCCAAATTTAACACCAAATGCAAGTTTTGGTGTTAAACTATGTGAAACAAGTGCCCAAACTAACAATTTAAAAGTAACAGAAAAACTTTGCACCAAGCCGAAATAAACAAAACAAAAGCTAAATGATTTCCATCTGTCAAGCCTAAATAAACAAAACTAAGCTGCTATGCAGACAAATTCAGTTTACACTTTACCCAAGTATGCACACACATAAACCACCGCAATTTACCCAGATTTTTATGCTGGCAAACATTTTCCAGGAATAACAATTCGCATCTGCTTTACATTTCGATTTTTCAGCTTCGAAATCCAAAAAACACATTCCAGATTTCAGAGTTTAAAATACATTTTAACATTCATTTCACACGTTACAGTTTCCGTATTAGTGAATCCCTCACAAACAGTAAAATTATCAAGTTTACAGCATCATCATCGAACCAGACAGAAAAGGCAAGTCCTAGAAATCACGCAATAACGGCAGAAGGAAGTAAAAATTAAATTGGCAGAAATAAAAGTGATCACTGAGTGATTCAAAAGTAACCTACCTGATTGAAAATGAAGCAGCTCGGTGGAGTGGAAATGAAGTCGTCGGCTCCGGCAGGCGAGAATCGAGAAGTTTCCCGACAAAGTAAACCCTAGAGACTCGGAGACAGACAAACGGGGGGGAGGGTATAAAGTCAGTAGTAAGCAACTTTCCTTTCTTTTTCCATTTCCAGCTCTATTTTCCTTTGTTTTTTAAATTATTTTCTCGTAAAGCTCAATCAAACAGAATGAACAGCAACGGTTCAGTCCCGGCCATGGCTGACGATAAATAGGCCAGAGCCCAGAAAATAGGTATTAGAAAGGGCCAAATCATGGACCTTTAAGTTAGGCTTGATATTCTCGGCCCAAAAATACATATAGCGGGAAAACTATCGTGATTTATTTGAAAAAAAGGGTCTAATAATTTTGGATCTAATTCACATTTGTAAAATGTGCTTAAACTTCAGTATATAAGGTTGCGTCTCATAGTTATTCATAGGAGTATGATAGATTTCTTGTGGGGTTATATTTTACTCCCTTCGTCCTAAAATTATTGTCCACTTTGCATTTTCAAAATTATTGTCGCTTTGTCCCTTCGTCACTTTGCATTTTCAAATCAAAATCCAAATTGGACAATAATTTTGGGACAGAGAGTAATTAATTAATTGTATAATAATCTCTACTTGGTCCCTTATGAAGGGGTTAAGTTTTAATTAATTAATTGTAATAATCTCTACTTAGTCCCTTATGAAGGACTTGTTCTCTTTTTTAAGAAATATTTAAGGAAATGCCATAAAGGATTTCTGCTATGTAACACCCTAGGAATGAAAAGTAAAGTCGTCCTTCTGGTTTCTCCGTTATAATAGACAGCACTATAGATGGACTTTAGATAGATAGATTTTTCATATTAAAGAAAAATATGAAGGATGAATCACTTGAAACTTGAACCACAGTATAGCTGTTAAGAATGGCTAACGAAAAATTTGTTAGAGAAGAATACAACAAAGACAAAAGATGAAGATAAATTAACCACCTCGTTAGTTCATCATATTTCTTCACCTTCATTCACAAGAGTTCCTAACCAGTAACCAGAGTAAAGAAAACGCCAACAGGGTTTATGATAAGCTCCTTGAGCATTTTCATAGCTGTGCTCCCTATACTCAGGCTGGCAACTTATAAATACAGAGGCCTGACTAGATTTGACAAAAATAAAGGCTACGCTTGTAGATACAAATTTTTGAAGCAAAACAGAAAGGATGTCAGGATGATCAAGGCAGGTGTTCCCGGTTAATTTTTCTGTAAACAGTTGTTAAATCAACTAAATGACGCATTGTCGGCCGGCCATGCGGGCAATTCCATGGAGACTTCAAGTCGGTCAAATGTTCAAGAATCTGAAAGAAGAAATGGCTGTACGTATCAGCACCAGTAAAGATATGTACCACTGCAATGACGCGCAAGTATCTCAAAGCAGTTTTTCACATATTGACTTAATGAGCTAGTGAGCAAACATACACCGCCCATGACAGAGCTTCTAATTATATCATTCTCATTTACTGTGGACTAAGAAAATTGTTGCATCTACCTTTTGCATTTCATTTCTCCCAAGCGGATCCCCTATCATAACAGATGACCTACAGGCACGTGATGCAAGCATTGCACGAACCCTGGAAGGGCAAACTGAATCAGAAGTATCTGTGCGGTAACTGCCAATCATTGAGCATTCTCCATGATCATCAGAAAGAATGGACAAGAGTTCCTTCAGGTCTGTTACGGAGGGAAACAACAAATCTAGTGTGAGATACAACACAAGAAGGTCACCATTCTAGATCAATCATCACAGCTACTTAATGGTCAAAGAAACAACAGATGCACACATCACTTGATATAAACAACAGCTCAATCATCAGTTTGGCGGTAGTAACTGTTCCACAGTAACATGCTTGGAATGTTAGGCTAGCATCCATGCAAATTTGTACAAATACTTCGCACATAATTGTGGAAGAAAAAGAATGTAAAACTGAAAGTAATTACCAGTGGCTCCGAAAGTTATAGTTTTACTGAAAGGAACTGCTTTCAGCATAAAACGACGTCCAGGAGAAGCATCCACATCCTCTTCCAATAAGAAACCATTTTTCCTGTACGTCAAAGTGCCAAAACAAATATGATCAGATTCAAGATGCAATCAAAATTTTACAAGACAGGCAAATGTACGTATGAACTAAACAAACAAATGATGGATCCCTAATCATGAAAGAGTGAGCAATGATGGGACTGATGTCCTATTTCAGGAACCCAAATGGAATTTGAGTTGTTCTTCCACTGCTTGTAAATCAGCCCCAAGCCCAGAGTTGAAAAAAAATGATGTTTTTAACATGTGTTATTTAGTTGACATAAGAGACTCCATCTTATTTGGTTAACGTAAGAGAAAGATACCACAACAAAAAGTTACTACCGGAAAAGAGACTGAAAAAACTCTAAACAGGAGCTAGAAACTTAATCGAAATAGAGTATAAAAGCACGGAAGAGAGAGTTGTCCAAGTATTTAGAAAATGCAACTTGGCTTCTATGTGATCTTTTCAGCTATTCTTTACTTTTGGTCTCTTTTGGTTTAGATGGATGCAGGAACAAAGAGAATTCTGTAGCACTGAATTTATCCCATTCCACAAATGAAGTAGTTGCACTAGTTAACACCTTTTCGACATAAGAAGTTGTTTTAACATGCATTACTAGTTAATAGGAAGAGAGAAATTTGCAAACCAGTACCTAATTGTTTCCATGTGCATTGAAATGACTATTTCTTCTTCCGGAGATAGCTCCATTCTCAGTGGCCTGCATATAATACTCTCTAATCAGGAAACGAGAACTAGATACAACATGTCCATTTGTCGTTGCAGATTGGTTGATAACACGTGCTCATTTTTTCTTAAATATATATACTCTCTCACTTTCTTTGAGAATCAGCAAGAAGAAGAATACAATACATAAAACAAAAACTGACTATAGTTAGGATACAAGCTGCACCCTATAGTAACCTGACCAAAGCCTTTTTCACTCTATGGTCCAGTATTGTTTTCTTGATTCTATGCTTTATGGGTAACAAGACTACAAGATGTTATACTTTTGTGTGAAAAAATCATAAAGTAATCCATTCATGGGTGCTTTGTATATTCTTACATATAGTATCTCCACATCTTTCATGCAAAATCTTGGAAATCACAACAGACAGATACGACTTCAGCTCGGAAATTAAATTTTTGTGTCAACCAAAAAAAAAAAGAAAAAAAGAAAAATCATTTTTGCTTTATTTTTAAACAAGAACAACACCTTATCACTTTAAGTGCAAATCTTAACGTAGATAGGCTGCTGATAGTAAGTCTGATCCAAAGCACCTTTTTCCAATAATCTGGAAGTCCTAGGTATCAATGATATTCCAGCTATAACACAAACATATAGGTATCAATGATATTTGAGAAAATTTATTTTGCAGCCAATAAAGAATAAAATGCTAACTACTTACCGAAGTAAAGGTTGCTGGTTTAAGACTGTGGTCTGCGACAGCCTCTCATAATTATATTTCTCATCTGCAGCATGCTGAGGACAAGAAGAAAGATTTTTAACGGAAAATAAAAGCTACACACCTTCAAACAGACAGGTGTGACAGGTTTTCTTATTCAGTTCTGGCAAAGTGGCAATTATATTTTCTTAGGAGAAATTTAACATGCATATCTCCAACTCATAAAAAAACCAACAAACACTTACTTGATCCACAATAAAAAGATCTTGATCTAGCTTCCCAATGATAAACCCAAGATTGAACTGGCCAATAACCTATGCACGAGAATGTGACTAATTAGTCAAACACACTGAGAACAGAATATGGAACCAACTGAGCCTTTATCTCACTATGTGAGGTTGGCTATAGCCTATCATCACATCCGCTCATATTTCCTTATATGTATCATATTATTTTTTGAAGCAAATGATAAATAATCATTTTTCTCCTCTATATCAAAGGTGATCCTTTTCGTCTTTAACTTTTAAAAACATGATTTTCATGTTCTGCCTCCATCAATTACCCATGTTTACACTCCAAAACAATGCATTAGAATTAGTGAGAATATAACCTTCATTCGGGCAAAGTCTTCCTTTTTGAACAGCCTTTCCAATTCATTAGTGGCAGCAGCTAAAGCCCTCGACTTCCCCTCCTCGTTTGTCGATTGAGAGAGCTCTAAAGTAGCAGCGGTGTAAGACCTGCAGGGTAATTCTAATAATCAACTAAGTGACATGAATTTGTATATTAGATCTTAAAGAAGAACTCTATGATTCGGATACCCTCTAATATTTCTTTTTGCGGATAAGTGATTGCTGGTACTTCTTAATCTAGCAAGCTTAAGCCGCCTCCTTGTTATCAGTTCATTGAAACTAAATTGCAATGGCGAACCAACTTTCCGACCAGATATCAGAGACTCTGAAGGTGGATCAGATGGGCTACAGGAGTGCAATTCAGCAGTTGCTTCATGGAGGCCTTCAGACACATTTTCCCTACTATTGCTAGTCATGACTGATATCCTCCCAACATTCAGAGACTGGAAAAGAAAATATTGTAAATCAATGAACTTTTCAGATTTGAGTATATTGAACTTCTGAAGTCCATCCAGAAAAGAAAGGCTTACCGTTCAACTTGCTTAAACTTTAGCATTTCTATTTCAAAGAAAGAAATGATAAAATTAGACTTGTTTCTATAAGATATACATTTCATATACCTCTTCCGGTTCTCCATTTAGCATTATTCCTTCATCAGAGGCTGGTGCATCCATCTCGATGGATATTCTGTCAGTTCCGCTGATTTCAGAAGCTTTGGACTCACTGTTATCACCTGCATCTGAGTCACCAATATTAATAGAGTTGACTGGAGATTTCATGGTTGTCCTTTCCTTGTCAAACTTGAGTTCTCTTAATTGACTGAGTGCCGTTCTACTTCTAAGGACAGGAACTTCTGAGATTGGCATGCTAATAGTCTCATGTTTCCTCTTGTTTATAGTAACAAATTTACTGATCGATGACTGGAAAAGTGCTGAGGGACTATGTACAGATAAACTATCATCGTCTACTTTACTTATAGACCTTGAATCAGCGTGCAAAGAATGATTATCTGCAGCAACATCAAGTTCTTTAAGTTCCTTACAGGAACCTACAGAGGTGATGTCTTCCTTCTTAGTTGAGTGGGCTCTTAAAATAAAATCTTTTCGTGTTGAATGAATACATTGTGTTTCCATCACTTCTACTTCGGGAAAATCAGTGACGCTCTCTTTCTCTGGTGTAAGAAGAGTCTCACTGTCAACAAATTGTTTTCTGTCACAAGATTTCTCTCCATCCATGTCATTCTGAGGTGGCTGCCTTGTGAGCTTAAAATTCTCCACTCGAGTATTTTTCTGGGCTGAAGAATCCTTCTTAGTGTGCTCCTCAAATTCTTGAATTGCATAACTAGCCTGATTTGGCGAGTAGATCTTCTCAAAAGCCTCTCTTAGTAAGCGCAAAATTGAACCTTCATCGGAGAAAAATATTTTCCTTTTGTCAGGGGTAACATTTACATCACAAGCTCTTGGTGGAACTGAGAAGTTCATGATTGCAATTGGGTATTGCCGGGAGTTTGCACCTCTGTACAACTCATTCACAAGCTTGCCCACTTTAGGCATATCCACGGGACGACCATTTACAAAAAAGAACTGCCTATCCCCTAAATTGCGCCCACTTCCATATCCAGGCTTTGAAAGGAAGCCATCAACTGTACAACCATCCAATATATTCACTTGCAAAGGCTCCAAGCAGGTAAAAGTGTTCATACCAAACACTGTTATAATATTATCCTTAAGGGATCCACTTCCTTGTGTTTTCAGTACCACAGATTTCACATTTCTTCCAGTTGTATTTGAGCATAATAATCTAACTCCCTTAGAAATAAGGGCATAAGCCTATAAACAATTAAAGCAACATATGAGAATCTGGAAACCCGTTGCAAGTTTTGTACAATGTGGTATTTAGAACCTTCACAGACACAGAGGACAAGTGTTCAAATGGCCAGAAAGTACTAGATTGGAGAAGTGCCATAAACTATGGAAACATGGAAACTAACACCGTTCTAGAAATAAATGGTTCAACTAATACATGGAACATGCATATATTAACAAAGCAAGCAGAAAACGAAGGCAAAATTGTGAAGGAAAAATACGCAATCAAAATCGTAATTGGCTCACATTTAATAAAGTGATCAGCTTTCCAAACTCCTTACGAATATTGCGGTGAAACTCTTTGCTCCTCACTGGCAAACGGGAAAACAATTTCTTAACAGTGACGGTGGTGCCAACTTGACGTGCTGTCTTCCTCTCATCAACAAGCACCCCAGAATGGTCGAAAGTCAAGTGGGTGGCAACTGCTTCATTCTTTGTTCTCGTCTCCACAGTCAAATCACCAAGCGCGCAAAGGGAGCTCAAAGCTTCACCTCTGAACCCAAATGTCGTCAATGATTGAAGGTCAGGAAAATCTGATAACTTGGATGTATGATGCTTCAGTGCAAGAACCTATTACCAAAAAATGCAATTCCCTAATGAGCTTTGAAACGAATAACATCATTCAAGTAAATTATCAGGGGAGTGTCTGAAGGACCTTGAAGTTGTTCGGGGAAATGCCGCAACCGTTGTCAATGACTTGGAAGGATTCTTCACCGTAGTCTTTGAGGGCGATTTCAATGCTGGTGGCGCCGGCGTCCAAGCTATTCTCGACGAGCTCCTTTACGGCGGAGGAGAGGTCTAAAATGACTTGACCGGCACATATCCGGTGAACGACGCCCTTGTTTATCGGCCGGATAGTGGCAGAAGTCTCCTTCTCACCGTCAGCCATTGATGTACCTTAAATCCCTTTTCCTCTGAAAATTCTTCTCTCATAAAGAGGGTGCTAATCAAAATGGCCTTAAACTGAAGCAAAATTTATTAGAGTCTCGATAAACCCTTGCTCAGGCTCCAAATTCCCCAATTTTCAGCAATTTGCCGCCAAAAATGAGTTAAATGCTTGGAAGAGAAAGGGTTTGGCTTTCAAATCGAATTTTCTCCAATATATATGACAAGGATGTAAAGTTAATATTTTTGGAAGCAATCAGGATCATTTCATAATATATACCAAATTTTGGGTGGGAAACTGTAAATTATAAATATGCCGAATATTTTTTATTTTTTTTTTGGGGATTTTCAGCTTTCTGTTCTTCTCCTCTAATTTGTGGTGGTCTTCTGGGACTGAGCTCTATAACAGCTCTCGCTGGAGTTGGTAGTATTGGAGGAGGACGACGAAAGAAGAAACCAAAGCCCCGGGTAACAGAGGCACAAAGCGTCTCCTGCCTTATCCAAATTCCTAACATCTGTAAGTTTTCCGTTTTGTGAGGAATGATGTTGTTCTTGTTTGAACTTAATCAGGCTGTCCCAAATTAATGAAAATTGAGAAGTCTCCATAAATGGGTCGCTTTCGGGTGCTCGATGAAAATTGAAAACCATATAGTTGATTTTTTATTTTTTTTTCTGGGTTAAGTATGGTTCTATTGCTGGTTTGTATGCAGTTATTGTAAGAAATGTAAGTTCATTGATTGATGTTTAAGGTTTTTTGCAATCCATTGGTGTTCCCATTTTAATCTTTATGGATTTATGGATGATCATTTTTTCTTTTTCTTTTTTTTGTTTTGGAATCGCATGGCTTGAAATTGAATGAGTGCAAAGTTGGGGGAGGTTGGAAAGATTTTTAGTAGTGTGATAACGCTTGAATGATTTTGGTTTACTGGAGAAGGTTAGGAGTTGCAGATTATTAGTTACTGATGCCGAGATCAATCTCGTGTTTTCTTACTATGGTTTGATCACTGAAATGTCCAAAATCAGTCTTGAACTGAGAGAAACATCTATCATAAAGCTGTCAATGCGCTTAAATTTTAAGGCCAAAACTGTTTGATTTGCTGGTAGAGTTTTTGATTGACATAATTCCTAGATTCCCCTCGCTTCTCCTAACGAATACAATACTAGTAGCTTTTATCATACTACACTAATCTGGATCAAATCTTACTGCTTTTAACACTGGTTCTTCCATGATAAATGTCACAAAGAGCGACCATATAACACTGGTTCATTGGCTGTCAAAATAGCATCACTTTCTCCTATCCCAACAAAAATGAGAAATACAGGGAGAGAGAGAATTTGAAATAAGAATGGATTCAAATTGGACAATACCATTTGAAGATATTTTAGGCACTGGATTTGTCTAAGCTGATCTTCCATAATAAAGCTTTTAAGACCAAGACTGATGATTGTAAGTGTGATAGTAAATGCCCTTATTCCTGAACTCCTTTCGGGTTTACCTTTTCTCGGGAAAGGAAAATAATATTTTCTCTGCTTGGTTGTTTTTCCACCCTACCATTTATCAACAATTTTTTGACAACATTTTTTTGTCATATTGTTGATATGACTGTTTTCTGTGCAGGTTCTCCATGATCGTTGTTGAATTGCCATTCACTGGCAATCGGACAGTTCAGAAACTTTTTGCTCCTATAATCCCATCTAGAACTGCAAATCCTGCTTGTCCAATGTTGTATCACCTTTGTCCTGCTTTCACCGTTAAACACCCTTACTCTCCTTTCTACCATAATTTTAAGTAAGTTCGTTTAAGTCATGTCTCACTGATATTTTTCATCATATAATTAGAGAAAGGTACTATTTGTTCATTTACTTTTTCCAGATACTAGATCCTGAAGTCTGTCATACTATTAAATAGCACAAAGAAAATTTGACTATAGCCTGATGTGACTGGTAGACGGTGCTTAATTTGGCTTAAGCTCATGTTTACTGCCATCATATTGTGATGATCTCGCACCTTTTTCAGTACCTAACCAAACATCTCGACTTCGGTTATTTGTAGGAAGGGTTGGCGGATTACTAGTGCTGCTGATGGTAACAGCATAAATTCTTCTCCATCAGATAATAGTGGTACTGGAACTCGACTCGTTAGGGCTATTCAAATCTTCCTGGACAAAATAGAGATGAGAATTAGGGATCTAAGGAAAAACCTCCCAGTCAAATTACTGTTTTTCTTGGTAGGATTTTACAGTGCCACTGCCTTTGCCACTGTTATTGGGCAGACCGGTGACTGGGATATTCTCTCTGCAGCCTTGGCTGTTGCTGTGGTGGAGGGCATTGGAGCTCTCATGTATAAAGATTCTCTCCCTTTGATTGGCAAGCTAAAGAGCTTAATTATTATGTTCAATTATTGGAAAGCTGGGCTTTCCCTTGGTCTCTTTCTTGATTCCTTCAAGTATTAGATAGAAGCAGACTGTATCATTTATGGATAATGTGATTCTTTTCAACTGCTAAGCTGGTGACCCACAGGCATCAGTGCCCGTTGCAGTGACTCTCTGGACATGAGATTGTGATCAATTGCAACCAGCATTATAGAAGCACTCGTCCTGATGTTACCAGTGTTACAGCTATTATTGTGAAACTGCAGATCTACGAGACTGGAGTTCAAGCATAAATACAGACCAGCCTCAAAATGCTAATATGTATCATCTTGGCATCTGTGTCTTCTCTAAAGAACGAGTGCTGACTCCCAAAGGTAACTTTGTGGTGGCATGTTGTCTAACGTTGAATTAGTTACGAGTAACAGTAATCTGATTCTGATTTTGACAGTTTGTTCTAACATTGATATGTTATATGATGCTTTTCCTGTAGGTGACAGAGACTGGATGGGCAAATTGATGTATATTGACTATATGCTGTCCGACTGAGTAAAATTTCAGAATCCACACATGATTCAGCTTCAGCCAATATATATACGTAATTACATTGTTATTGTCTCGAAGAATGCCTGTGTGTCAAAAGTTTGATAATACATCCTCCGTTTCCATCCAGAATGATTCTCTGCTCTCTAATCCAGCAGCGTGGCTGAGGTTGTTTCCAGGCTAGACTGTCACCTCTGGAGCTCACCCAAATTTTGTTGATTGATTCGAGACTAAAGCCAGAAAGTGGACTAAAGAGGAATTGTAATACTTATTTCCTTTTGATGGATCTTTTACTACTTTATTTTTTATTTTATTTTAAAGGACAATCTATGCAATTGAGTAATGACCATAGTCAGCACAGGTTTCAGTGATAGTTTGACGATATAAGGAGTTTGTTCATAGATGTGTCAACGGTAGTAACAAGGCTTGAATATTGAACCATTGTATGAGACAGTGAATTTATATCTTAGATATACTTAATTTCAGAAGTTGAGCAACTGTTTTACTTATATCATGACCATCATCACAAGGTTCCAGAAAAACGGTAGAGTGAAAACAAAAACTCAACGTGTGGAAGAAATTTACTTTTACTTTCTCAATATGCGATAATTGCACGACTACGAAGTACAGAGGCGCTTTCTGAACTACAAAATGTACAAACTGAGTTGTAGTAGAATTGAGGCTCGTGAATTTCTTCATTCATGCTGTGCAGAGTGAAGATCCAGCCTGGGGACTGGCAGCTGAGGCCTATCGTCATGCCACTAGTCACTGGTCGATCAGATACAGGAGTTCCACAATGATCTGCATCGATCAGGATTCCACCACAGTGATATGCATTATGCATCAATGCTAGGCCCAGGATATGCTGGTAAGCTCATGATACGCTTGTCAATAACAGGGCCTCCAACGGTAAAATGATACAGGCTTTGAAACTTTGTTCCTCTCAATCCCAGAACTTCATGAACTGTCATGGATGAAACAAACTGATGTCAAGAAATTCTTGTAACGAATTATACTGAGCATATCCTCCAAGGCATAGAAAATGAAAAATCCAGAAAAGCAGGATTATAGGAGAAAACCGATACTCTATGGAACTTCAACAGATAACCACCAGAAAGGGAGAAATGAATACCAGGGTCATCAAAGAAGCATCCAATTCCAGTAGCAGAAATCCCAACTGCATGTGCTTCAAGGTAGAGGACCTGACCAAGTACTCCAGTCTCCCAGAACAACCGAGGATACATCCATGCACCCTTGTCATTCAGCGTGGGCTGAAAATGAGCCACCATACCTAAGCTGAAGCAGCCATCACCAGCAATATCCTGCAATCATATAGACAATAATTGAGAAGTTCGGTCTTGAGGGCTTATGAATACCTCAAGAGCAGGAATCTAAATCAACAATGTCTGCTTTCAGATGACATAAACCGCGGAGCAACTAATGGGAGTTGGGTCTTCCTGTGGTGTGAATCATAACCAATCCAGAAAAATTACACCAGGGCAACATACAATGAAGGTGTCCGGGTTTGGTGGGCAAATCATATATTACAGTTCCGCAACACTACACCAGATGACTTGTTTATATCAACAAATACATAACTTGAGGGGGAAAAAATCTACAATGAAGTGAATACAGCTATCTGGAGCCCGAATTCGAATCCAGAACCTTGATGCCACAAACAACATCCCCCCTCCCCCCTTCCACACCACCAACATAATCTGCCTTAATACTACGTCAAATACCAGTCAACTACCAGCAAAATTACGACAAATTCTCTTAATTCACTCAAAGGGATGAACTAGTAACAATAATAGTCAACATTAGCTGACACTCAACGTCACAAAACCAATGCTAGACAAAATGCTTTAATAAGGAAAAGACATTCGGGAAAAATATTGTATGACCAGACAAAACACGAAATCAAAAATGATGCACATAGTAGCTAAAAGCTCAGTAGTAAGCACACCATATTGATGCCTTCAAACACACCTGATGACATGAGAGCCTTTTTGACAGCTCCTTAAAATCACCCTTTGCCAGCTCATACAGAGGAAGGTCATTGGGACAACCATCTGGTTTAACCCATGTAAATTCAGGCCTGGTAGATTTCCTCAACTCGTCCAAATGCTCTTCATTTCTTGCCAAAAAGTACAACCCTTTAGGCAACCCCAGGACTCTATGAACAAATAGAACAGCGTGCACTTCAGCATCCCATGAGAGCGCCCTAAATGGCAATGTAACTTGTTTACTTTGTTTCCCTCCTCTCTTTACAGCTGTAGGCATACAATGCAATAAAATCTGAAAGAAAGTCTCTCTAGCCATTGTGGTAGTACCATCCATATCTACTGCACTCCTACGCTTCCTAACCACTTCCCATAAAGTTAAACCTTTGTAAGAGTTCTCGTTAATTAACTCACTGCTCTGATATGGATGGGCGATTGATTCCTTTAGCATTTTCAAAGGCTTTATAGCAGCCTCAGCAGTCCTGTAGATAATGTCCCAACATACATGTTCTTTACTGAGCAAATTAGGCTTCCCTTTCCACTCCAACTTAAGAAACTCAGATATAGCTGAACTTAGCTCCTTATAATCCACTTCAAAATCAACCATTCCACTAGGATAAACCAGAAGCACACAATCGGGATGCTCAAATTCAATTTCAGGCATTTCCCCTTTAACTGGCCTTGAGGGAATCCTAAATTCTGGAAAGACATGGAGTCCCATTAGTTTCTCAAGTTCACCATATCCTAGCCCATCTAAAATTTTAACCTCCCACCCAAGCCCTGCGGCAGCCATTGAAACTGCACCAATGGCGTGCCCCACGTCATGGTTGCAATACCTAAATGCCCTCTCACCATATTTCCAAGCTTCCCTCCAAAATATAGACGAAAGTCCAATAAGAAAAGAGTTTCTAGGCAAAACTTCCCCAAAAAACCCAGAAGGAATTTGAGCTCTGATTTCCAAACCATGCTCCTTTGGAGCATAATGACCAACAAACGGATGATCAATAAGAGAATCAATCGGCGGAGCAACGATATAAGCCTCAGTGGGATGAAGATTCCCGCTGCTGGGGTTAACTCGAAGGGACCAAGTGGAGAACCCAGTACTTTTCCAAGCCGATAAAGCTAAGGAATAATAAAACAGTTGAGATATTGTGGACTTAGAAATGGGCTTCGGAGAGGGTAAAGAATTGAAAACCTCATGATAGAGAGGAGGAACATCAAAATTTTCCGAATTCGGATGTAGGAGTTGAAGCAGTGGAGCAGAGACGTAACGGCGAAAAGGGTTGGGCTGATTAGCCCAGTCAAGCCCACGAGGGCCGCGGGCATAATTGGTGAAGTTATGCTTCGTCTGATTATGGTATTTCAAGGCTTGCGCAATAGATTCTTCGTCTTTCTCTTCTTTCTGGTAAATTGAATCTTGATACGGCGTTGAGGTGGAAGACATGGTGACTCTGGCGATTCTCTGAGGTAAAAAAGCGGTGGTTTTGGAGGCGTTGAAAATGGGAACCAGGCGGAGGAGGTGGTGGTGGTGGGTGCGAGGGCGGTGGAGAATGGAGGCTACTCTGGAGTGAAGTTGAGGCATCTCTCCTCCGTCCTTCAAAGTTAAAAGGTAGCATTTCTGGAAGTTCTGAATTGGTGGGGTGGGGGGACTGGGAAAGAAGATTGCCGAATGTTCTTGCTCCGCAATCCGCATTCAAGATCCAAAATACTTGGACTGGAGTACTGGACCCATGACGTCACGGGTCCGTAATTCAGTGTTGAGCCCCTGCCCCGTTGAACCAAGGAAATCTCTCTAGCGGTGAGATTTTTTTTGTTGTTAATTAAATGTTAAGGTGAAAAATCAGGATATCTGTTTCTTCTTACAATCATCGTACTACTACTATAGAAAATTTGGCCGAGCTCGTTGATAAGGGCTTGTTTGGCAACTTTCATTTTGCATTTTTGTCTTATTTTAACTTTTAAAACAACTTTCGAATACAAATTCTAATACTATCCAAACAATTTTTTAATTTATCTTTTAAAAAACATTCCAAAAATTATTTTTACACAATTTTCATCCACTACCACCGGACCACTTCCACCACCACCAGCCGGCCAAATTCCAGTGAGTTGGCTAGAATTTGGTCAAAATCCAATCGGCCGGTCGCCGGCCGGCAGTGGTGGGCGGTCCGGCAGTGGTAGAAGTAGTCCAGTGGTGATCTAAAAATATTGGTTTAATTAAAATATTACCCAAACAATTTTTTAAATTTTATCTCAAACCATATTTTAAATCACATCTCAAACCCAAATCAAAAACCAAAACAAAATGTTGGTCAAACAAACCCTTATTTATTGGTACGATCCAAATGTTGTTTACTACCTCAGTTATTTTTTTTACGTCGCATTAGGATGAATTCAAAAAAAAAAGAAAATTAATGGACTAACATCCAAAAATAAATATTAAATGAAATGACAAAAATTAGCCATGTTAAAAATATTCTTCATTGTCATCACGGTTGACCTCTCTGGCCAGGCTTTACAACGACAACCTCGACCATCACTCGCAAACAAAAAGCTTAAAATTTGAGAATTATTCTTCTTTGTTGTTCAAATTTTTCTTGAAAACTATTTCACCAATTTAGAGCATTTTGGTCTTCAAGAAATACTATTGAAACAATTTTTTTCCAATCTTTGGTTCAATGAATTTACGATTAAGAACGCATTTGTAAAAAGAAGAAAGAATGGCTGATCTCAAACTCTTTTGCTTACAATGGGCACGTTGGAAACCATAAATTTGGAGTCCATACTAACTCGTTACAGAGCTTCTTCTCCTTCTTTTTCGAAACTGGAGATTTATTTACTTTTTCTTATCTGAACTTATTATCACAATTTTTTCCTCTCTTCGGGTAGCAATTCATGTAAAATTAATCGGATGGGTTCTCAAATTTTATTGGTTAATTAGTGAAATTTCACCAATACCATCTCTAATTTCTCTACCCGTTCTAACAATTGGGTCCGTTTATTGAGTTTGAGCAACTCTAAAGATAACTATCAAGAACTCCTTCACTAATCAACAGCTATGGTGGAGACAGAGGAGGGTCGTGGGTTTTAGAGAGGGCTGGCCAGAATCACGATGATGTTAAGTGTTAATTTTTGGAGATGGCTAATTTTGTCATTTCATTTAATAATTGTTTTAGATGCTAAACACTGTTTTGGCAGAATCATCAGTCTCTTTTAATCTGTCACTACTCTTGATTTCCAATCCAGCATTGAATACAATTTTTCCAATTTCACCGTTATCACTCTCTACTTTTAATAACATGTATTAATGATAACTATCTCTTTTTCACTTCAATTTCAAATTTTTGTAGAGTTCCAATACTTTTAATTAGGGACAAGAAATATATTATTCTCTCTGTTCCAAAATAAGTTTCATTCTAGAGTTTGCACATAATTTAAGAAACATTAAACATGGTAACTAAATTACTAAAGTATCCTCAACCAACCCCATTCAAATAAATGTTTACCAATAATATTTTTTTTTGAGGGTATGTTTGGAAATTTTTGACAAAAAAGTGCATTGAAATCCGAAAAAGACACGTATTTTAGAATTTCTTATTTTATCAAAACAACACTTATTTTGGAACGGATGGAGTACTTGAAAATTAAATTCTTAGTCATTATTTTCTTAATGTTATGTATAAGAACGGAGGTAGTATTTCGAAATTTTTGTGCTAAGATACTTTGTTTACATGATAATGTTAACCACCATACTACTTCCGTTTCGTTTTATCTGTCGTTTTAGGGTTTGCACAATTATTAAAAAAATAATAATTGAGGATTTAGTTTTTACAAACATTACTTGCCCTTATTTAATTATTCAACTACACCTATTTTCTATGTTCAACTATTGACTCAAACTACATTATATTAATTGAGTAAGTTAGAAAGCCACACCATTTTAGGTGAGAGGTAAGGGTAAATTAGGGGAAAAAAAAGGCATTAAAATATTCTTAGAAAAGAAGAAAGAAATTTTGGAATCTCCCTAAAACGACAAATAAAATGAAATGGAAGTAATATATCATTGAAACTCATGCAAAGTGGTGAAATTTGAGCCAATCTTGAGTCTCATTTAAGAAATTTTTAAGCAATTCACTTATTGTTGGGAGATCCCAATAGAACAAGGATTGGAAAACTAACTGTGAAAGTAGTATGAGGTTTCAAGGAAGATGAGCCAATGAGAATATGAGATTATTGAAAAAAAAATGCCATTTAATGAATAATTATCATAAATATATGTTACTTGAAATCAATCACGGGTTATGTTGTTAAACCGGACTGGACTAGTTGGTCGAACCGGCTGAATGGGAACAGGAGGTCATCAAATGTATTGATACAACTTCTCTAGTCCGATTTTTATATAAATCCACTTAATTAAAAAAAAATTAATAAAAAAGAGGATCAAACTCAATTTTATTTTATGCACCACTTAATTGCATATCACAATTTAAAAAACTTACATAGTATATAGCTCTCTCAGATTGGAGAAACGCCCTTGATAATCTATGGCGATTCTCCTAAACTGACAATATTGAAAACTATTTAACTATTTCTATAAGATCATTAGCTAGGAATTGGAGTTCAAACGGAAACCCGGAGCCCTTAGCTTTGAAACCTGCTACTAACACATTATCAGTTTGCAAAATGCACCGTTGAAGATCCTCATCCTTGACAATTTGGAGACCTAGAAGGCTTAATGTAACCCCTGCTTGCAATGGGGAACAGGACAAGAATGCTCTGCCCCCTGAGGCATAATGGTTCCCTTGTGCATCAATAATTTTCCGTGCTCCTACACTTCTTCTATCAGAGAGAATGAAAGCTCCATCATTTCTAATGGAGTACGCAGCAACTTCTTCTGGGATTATGCGCCAAGTCAGCTGTGGTGAAAGTTTGAAGTTCTTACATTGCCCATTGTTGTATTTCCATCGGAGACTGATCTCTGTCTTCCTAAAATTTTCGATTCCTATGACCCAAACAAAAAAGAAAGACATTTGAATCAGCTCCTTAGTGGGTGCAGAGCTAATTTAATCATCAAACCAAACATTGAATCCAACCTTGAGAACCTTATCAAAATCGAACCCCAAAGGAGAAGATCTCCATACCCTTTTAGAGGTTTCACACTCCAAAAATAGATGGTGAATAGTTTCTTCTCCAAGATGACAACGGGGGCATATCCTTGATATAACTAGCTACTAGATATGTACTCGGCCGTTGCCCGGCATATCCACACACAATAATATAAAATAAATGTACAAATGATAAGTTTTTTGGGTAATTTAAAAAATATAAAATTTAGAAACAAAAATTATGGGTGATTTCTAAAAATAACATAAGAAAGGTGCAAAGATGATATCTTGAATAATTTAGAGAATAATCATCGGAGTATTTTGTTTGGTATTGAAAGAATACTAAATCGTTAAAATAAATTATAATAGAAGATTATATAATTCTATTTTAAAAAATAATTGTGAAAACCATTATTTGGTGATATATATGATTTTTCTATCTCCATTTAAATGGAATATTTATAAATCAAAATTAATTAAAAAAATTAAAATATTTTTAATTTTGGAAATATTATGAGAATCATTCATATCATCAATGTCCTATACATTAATATTAATTGATTAATTATAATTAAGGATTGGAGAATTTAATATAATGAAAGAATAGAAAGATTTTTTTTTAACAAAATTATGTCGTTTTTGTTAGGAGAAAAATAGTTGAATGTGAGCGCGACACGTCAGCATGGGTTCTCATCTAGGGTTCTCATCTAGACTTATGTTTTAGTAGATATATTGATTCCTCTCTTTTTCAATGTTGTTAATATTGGTAAAGCGTTAGTTATAGCCCGCCATAATAACCAATGTATTTTACCTGGAACCTTGATAGTCCAAAGTTGCTTCCACGCTACTTCTGATACTTGAGCTGTATTTGATGTGGAAGGTATATTGAGAGCATCTCTAATTAAGACACTAAAACACTAAAATTTGGTATTTTGGTGTAAAATTTTCCCTCCAATGAACACACTAAATCACTATACTATTTTGGTACAATGATTAGTGTTACATGGTGTAAATTGTCAATTATACTATTTTTAGTGCATTATCTTTTTACTTAGATCTAAAAATATATTTACTATACAATTAAACTTGTAAAATAAATTATGTTATAAAAATTATATCATATTAAATATTTTGTTGATATCTTCGAAATAAGACCCATATTGAATATAAATTTTTATTTTTTAAAAAAATATTTTTTAGTTATTATTAAAATTGAGTATGAAAAATAATTAAAAAAATTTGATACTTCTATGATCAAATAAAAAGCGTTATAAGGAACAAATTTCACAAAATTATTACCATATTAAATGACTTTAATTAACTATAAAAACAAAAATTTAAACTAAAACATTTAATAGATGGGCATTTTAATGTATCAAGGTTGGAGTGTAAAAAACTTTGGTGTAAGAAAATGCTTAAAATATTCGATTTGTGCACTAAATTTAGTGTAAATTATAGTGCAATGGTTGGAGATACTCTGACAGAACGCCGATTATCCCTGAAAAAATACCCAATTCGACTAGTAACCGGTACTTGTTGAATTGTTTTCTCGAATTAAAAAAAAATAATGTTTTTTATTAGTTTTTATTATTGATTTAGAGGGCCGATCAGAATAGTCAACCCATTGACCCAATTAAATTGCCGGTTCACATTTCGGACCCATTTTTAAAGCATGTCTTTTATTTATTTATTTTTTTTTGTCCCAAATGATCCTTAAATTTTATTAAAATAGAGAGCAAAATATACAAATTGTACAAGAAGTATATGAAGAACAGCTAAATCTAGCCATGGCAGAAGAAAATAGGTAATATCTTGGGATTTATGCATCCCTTGTAATCAGAAAATAAATATCGAACACGGGTCTGGTGAGAGTGCAAATCTAAAAAGATTGACTACTCCACATTACAAAAATAAAAGATTTTCATCAAAGTGTTAAAGTGGATACCTCATTTACACTCATGTTGACTTGTGTATGATAATTTGGGTAACATAACGTAAATGCATACTCTCAACTAGAAAATAAAATCATTCATGAATTATTGAGTCAGCGATAAAATGTGAAATTAGAACACATTTACAGAGAGACAAATATTGTTACAAATTGTTTAACAGGTATAAAGAATTAATGAATTGCCTACTATAATAGAAATTTGGTAAAAAGCTCGTTGTATAAAAACATGGAGACATAACTCCCCGTTAATATAATTTTGTGATACCTCGACTTATATTTCCTTCTTACATCTATCAAAAAGGGCAACTTATTCATGTTGTCACGATTACTTATAAAGCTTCATTGAAGCATTTAACCAATCGATCACTTAAGTAGGCTCAATATAGATTTAAAAAAAAAAAAAAGAATAAAAAACACACTTCGCATAAGTTCTAAAATGAAAGAAAATTAACCAAAAGAAAATTGACTTAAAAAGAAATTACGAGCACTTTTTTTTTTTTTTTGAGTTTGCGGTGTTTTCATTCTTTCTATTACAATCTCATCCAACCTTCTACATAATTTCTACCCTTTCTTGGGCACCAACCTCTTTAAAAGTTAACCCGCCAAATTAAAGGTGCAATTCCGGATGTTTTTCCATAAGATTAATCCTGAGTTTGATTCTATTCACGTACTTGATAAGCAGATGTTCCATGTCATTCTTATCAGTTCCACTCAAATCTTTGAGACTAATTTCACCATCCAGACATTGATGAATCATGTTTTCGACTTCCTTCTGTCGATTTTGTTGTTGTACCTTCTTTAATTGATCGCTCAACTTCTTGATCTTCTGTTGAGCGTACAACTCTGGATTCAACATGTTGCGCCCTTGCTCCATTTCTGACATGTTCCGATATTTATTAATTATCGAAATAGCATCGGAACGCGACGAAGGCCATGTCTCAACACTACGATCGCCATCCTCATCATTCTGATTGTAATAAAATATGGCACACGTATCCACACCACAAAGGATGCTTAGCTCTTGTAACTTTTTTATTATACTCTTTTTCTTTTTCTCAAATGTAACTTTTTTGTTTACATTTTGTTGAGTAGCCCGGGACTGTCTTTTTCTCCCGGCCATGGATCGATATCACAGAGTAATTTATACGATACAATGGAAGGGGAAAAAGAAAAAAGACAGAACTTGAACTTTTATGAAAAACAAAGAATTGGACTATGGTTCTAAAGAGGTTTGAGGGGGTGTTTATATAGAGTTTTAAGGGTAGCTTTTTTCCTTCGAATCCGGTCTATTTTGTTAAACATAATTATTATATGATCGCTCCCGAGTTACACTTGGCGATCATCTTGTTTTTGGTATACTAAGTTATATATGTCAAAATCAAAAAATATTTTGATTATAGAATTGGAAATCGATAAAAAGTACTAGTACTAGATAATGTATTTTGATTTTACATTGGTATATTACTTGGAAAAATCGATTTACTAAATCTATAAATCACATTTAATTGAACTAGTAATAACTAGTATTTTCTAAATAGGACATATCTTACATTAATTTTTGTAACAAACTAGTAATTTTGACGGAGATTGGGCGAATCAGATTCGACTATTCCAGAACATTTGAGTTTAGCCGTGGTCAACTTCAGTTATGAGAAATTTTTAATGCAGGTTGTCAACAACGTCTACCAAAATTGTAACAAATTTTTCAGGAAATTTGCTAGTTACTCATCGGGGGCTGTGTGAATTTTGTTTCAGAATGTGTCACGAGGCTCTATTTCTGTCAATACCGTTTGCTGTATGCCTCTAGATGGACTCAATCACGTCGTCATCAAAATAGATGACTTATGCCTGAAAAATACTCCCTATCGTACTTATTAAAATATTTTGATTTGTCTTAAATTTCACTCAATATATTTTTTTTGATTAGTAAAAAAAACTTCAAAAACATATTTTCACGTTTATTGTATTATCCTAATTATTAAGAAATATGTTTAAGATTTTTTCTTCAATTAAAAAATACTAATTAAAATTTTATGACAAATTTAAATATCCTAGAGTATAACTGGTAGTGAGATCGAGGCAACATTTACACTTTATTACTCTATATCTTAGTGGAAAATGTCATGTAACATGTTTTCTCAAAGTCAAACAATTTTATATTCCCTCTGTCCTATAATTATTGTCTTGTTTGGTTTTTATTTTTAGTTCAAATTGTACTAAAAGTGAAATATCAAACTGTACAATAATTGTAGGGCATAGTGAGTATCTATTTCCACAACCCTACTACTATAATTAAAGATTAAAAGAACGTTTAGGTGCATTACCAATTATTCTATCTCTATCGATCTCAAAATAAAAATAAAAATTCATACTGTAGTTTATGAGTCATACTGAAAACACTACATATATAATTCACAAATTTTGTTTGAATGTAAAGGAGCACAAAATTTATTTATTTTGAATAGTATACAAGTAAATGAAAAAATGGGGATAAAATGTAAAGGATTTACTATTTTTTTTTTTGAAGAAAACATGTATATTAATTATTTAATAGTTTCCTAACTACATGTTAAGTGTTGATTTGGTTTTCTTATTGCGTAATTGCTCTTCTTCCAGTTCATAATAATGGTTCCACTTATCAATTTTTCTAATTAGAACATATAACATTATAAATTTCGAGACGGAAGGAGTGATATTTTTACATAATTGAAATTTATTTCAAGTTTGACGTAATGTTTATTTGTTCGCCTAAATAATGAAGACCATGTTCGACTTTAATTGTAACAAATTACTCCTCTAGTCCTAAGTAGTACTCCTACAAAGCAGTATAACAATTAGGTCCGGAGTGAGTAATATCAATGTGAACCAATAAAAAAAGTACTATGATAGTTTTGGGGTTAAAAGTTATAAAATCCTTATGTTAACGGTCTTTTAGATATTTAATTAAATTTGAAGGGGGTATTCGGAAAGTGCGCCTGACAAAAATTTTGCAGTTGTTTTGGCTGCGCCGCTGAATAATTTCGTTCCAATTTGAAATTCTCTATTCTCCGCCATTCCCATTTCTCACACTCACACACCGGATCCCCCCTCAAACGCACCGTCGTGAGCAGAGATTTCGTCGGCAACCGCTTGATTAAACCTAGTGGACGGTGATTAAAGTGGTGCAAGTCAATCTCAATGACGAAGGAGACGCAGGTGAATTCTGGAAATTTTATAATTTTTTTAAAGGGTTTTTTCCTCCCCTAATGTGAAGCAGGCAAAGTTTATTGCTCGAATTTTGTTGGTCGCCCGTCCATTTCCCCTTTTACCTGTAACTTAACTTGTTTGCTTTGGAATTGCTGAAATTGTTTTCATTTTTCCTGTTTCAGGTCAAGACGCTTTACTCCAAGCTCTACCACAAGTACAGTAAGTTGAAGGTGATTTTTCTCATGTCTTGTATCCTTTTTTAGTTGAATTTCAAAAGTATTTTTTTTGGATTAACCATTACATTTGATCTGCTTGATTTTTGTTTTGTTTTGTTTTTTTTTTGGTTGATAATTTTAGAAAGAGAAAGATTCAATATTGGAGAAATTGAACGAAGAGCAAGAAAGGAAGTTTGTGGAATGTGTTAAAGGTAACATGCCTGTGTTCCTTCTCGTATTAAGCATACTTAAGTTCCAGATTGATGTTATTGAAGGTATTTTTATGCATAATTTCGTCATTTGAAAATTGAGAATAGAACAAGAGGGGTTCCACCCTCCGTGTGTGAATGTGGCTGCACTGGTTTTGCTTTCAAGTTCCTGAATTTATGCTTCACTAGTAGAAATTTGAAGGGTTAGATGCTTTATGAATAGGGTAGAAGACTGGAAGAAGATAAATTCCATAATGTATAGTATTCATTTCTTCTTGTGTGCAAAGTTGTGGCTACTGGGTAGGGTGAGGGCAGCGATTTCTTATTGTCATAATTGTCAACACTTTGTGATAGCTTGTATTCATCATTGACAGAAAAATGCTGGTTAATATACCATGGATTCATGGACCTCTATTATTCTGATAGAGGATGTTGTAGAAATGCCTGCTGGAAATTTTGTCGACACAACATGTAGTTTTTTTTTTTTTGTGCCATGAATGTGAGTCGCTTTTGTTTATATTTTGTATACCTTTTTTGTTGCTATTTCTAATTCACATCATACATGTAAATTTACATGTATCATACATGTGCATTGTAGAAAAAAGGATGGTTCTGAGAATCGTTGTTTAATGTCTATCATGTCTTTGCTATAATTACCAACAAAAATTCAAATTGTCTGTTTGACTCTTGGCTTGGAATACTTTAATTGGTTAGTTTCTTCCTATAGATATGTATAACCCTATTAATCAATTGTTTGGCTTTAATATATATATTTTGCAGCTTCGGATGAATTGATAGACTTATTGAGAAGTGAAAATGATATACTCCGCAAAGAAGTGAATGAGTTAAGAAGAGACATGTCAACCATCAGGCATGTATATTTTGAACTATAGTTTCATTTTACAGCATCTCCAAAAAAAGTTTTCTGATGAAGTTAACTTTTTTTGTTGCTTTTAGAACTACAAAAGACCAGGCATGCATCCAGTATCAAACACTTTTGATGGAAGAAAATCAAAAGAGTAAGAAATTTGGATTTCTTAATTTCTCGAGCATTTTTTAAAATTCTGAACTTCTTAATAGTGCTCAACATGAGTATTTTCATGTCCAAATCAGGTTTGGAAAATAGATTGTGTGATAGTGCTCGTGAAATGGATCGATATTTTGTCCAAATAGATTGTGTGATAGTGCTCGTGAAATGTATCGATATTTTGTCTTCTTACGTAAAAAAGACAGCTTAAGTTATCTCTGAAAGCTCCTTAGTTCTTACTCTTTGCATTTTTCGGGTTGAACTGACTAACTACGTCATTATTTAATGTAATTTTATATGGCTGCTCTACTTCCCGGTTACTTGACACTGAATTTTGAGATTACTTCTTAGATATACAATTTGGGAATGGGTGTTTTATTTATCTGCCTAGCACTAAATTAGTGTTTCTTTTTTGTTCTACATTGATCTTTCCCCTGCTTTGAAACTACTAATGGGGTGGATATAGTTTGAGCACTAACTGAACACGGATGGTAATTTTGTGATTCTGGGTGGTAGCTTTTAACATTAGGCTACTTAGATATGATTTCACAACTTAGTAAATTGCATGTGAAAATTCTTTTGTGAAGGTGAAGAGTGCTTTCTTAAAAACTTAGATGGATAATTGATAAATTATTTTCATGGCATATTGGGCTGACTTTGCTGTTTCTGAACCTTTCTTTTCCCTGATTGGCTAGTATGGTTCATATCCAAGCTCGAACAGCATGTTCTGAATAAACCTTGTCACATATTAAGCATTTCTCTTCTCTTCACGGATGAACTAATTCTTTGTACGCTCTTTTATTACTTAATTGAAAGTTGGAAAGGTGGTTAGGCTGTAAATAACTGATTCATGAGTATTTGTTGCAAAACATGCAAAAAGTGTGACTATTGCATATTGCATAGATTCTTGGACTGGCTGAGTATTTGTTTGTTCGTTAGCAACATTACTAACTGATAATATACTGTTGGAATGATTTTTATTCTCATATATCATTTGCAAGTTATTTGACTTTTACCTGGAGTTTTGCAGATAAAGAACTTGCCGAAGAAATCGAGAGACTACAACATCTTCAACGAGAGGGACTCTGTTGTCAAGCTAAGGATAATAGGGTTAGTAATGAATCAGTTGACATTCCTGGAAGTTATCAAGCTAAGAGCGTTTCACTGGAAGTTTTGGAAAAGACTAGGAAACGGAGTAGGCAATCTTTAAGTGGGAGTGAAAATACAAGGAAACAAAGCAGGCCATCTTTCATTGGAAGTGATAAGACAGTCATGCTGCACGATGCTGAAGCAGTCGAACATGTTCAATTGAATGATTCAACAAATGGATCCTCCAAAAGTAAAGCTGGTGATTCTCCTTCAAAGTATGATCATGTAAGTTTTCATGGAAACTAGAATTTCAAACACTTTTTACCAGTCGTTTCATGATTTATGATGTTGAAATTCAATGTCTCACTTTGCAGCCAGCATGCTTTAAAAGAAGGAAAGTCAACTCAGGTGCGTGTCTTTAATTTGAGGGCTTTCTTATTGTTCATTCTTTTTTTCTTTTTCTTTTTTTTTTGGTGGGGGGTTGGTTCTATTTCTCTGGTGAAAGAAAGGTAATGACATTTTCAATTTGACCTTGTAGGCAGTGGTTTGACTGATGGTGGTCCTGCCAGCTGCTACTTCCAAGATCTCGTTGAATGCATTGTAGGCTTGAAATTTTCCTGTGTTGTCCAAAATGAAGATTTTGAGGTTTCAGTTTTGCATCCATCAAGTGGTAAACATTTACCAATAGCTTCTTATACCTGATATCCCATTGATAAACTTGTTTTTTAGGATACTATTTGCTTTTAGAAAAGATTCCTTTTTAATAAATGGAATTATGTTATCTTTAAGTTTGATTAGCCTTTTGTTGGTTTTCAAGTTTCATTTTCCCCCAAAGATTTATAACCTTGTGAGTCTGCATTTTCTTTACTCAATTCTGCCAAATTTTGTTGAAAAGACTGTCAAACCAAAGCTTCGTTTTATATAGTTATGTGAAGGTTGGCAAAATGGAAAATGTGGATAGAAAATTTACCACTTAGTGAAGGTTCTCCACTCATTGTGTAGTTGGTTTTTTCTTGTTTTCCCGACTAATGAGAAATTTGAAGTTTTCGATTCCATTACCGTTCTCTTGAAGTGAAGAAAATTTTTGTGCTGATACTGTGGTTGCCAGTTTTGTTTTCTTTTGTGATTAGAACTTGTGAGATGTTAGTTTTTATTGTCCTAGAGTCTGGAGGAGCAGTTTATACTTGGACCCTTTTGCTTTACACAGATTTGATGGCATACTCCACATTTTTTGTTTCAGGTTACACTTTCAGTTTGACATGGGTCAACAACTCTCATGGTGAACCGGAGTTACTCTATCGTGTTTTATCACTTGGAACTTTTGAAAGAGTTGCCCCAGAGTGGATGAGGGATGTCTTGATGTTCGGAACAAGTATGTGTCCTACCTTCTTTCATAGGGTGTCACGCATCATCAAGCTCAACCACTGACAATATGTATATCAGTCCACTTTGTTAATAATCAGGAAGTCTTGATATTATCATCTACCTACAAATCGTCTTCGGTGCCATTTTCTGGTTCTCTAATGTACGGAGTATCTCTCTGCATATTCTGCTTCATTTCCCTCGTGTTCTTGAAATCGTTTGTTAACATTAGGCATTGTTTGTTTGTTCAATTTGATCAGTACAGTTAGGATGAGTTTTCCGTCTGTGTTTTGGTAGATATTTGCTTGGGTTTATTACCCAAGAAAAAGGCATTGGCTGCCCACCTCCACCTGTTTGCCATCCTTGAGAACTTGAATTCTGGCATTGGGCCTTCTGGCTATATCACAATTGTAGACAATTTGGTAGGAAAAGGACGCTTGGGGGCAACTATGAAATACTCCCACCCTCCCATAATTATTGTCCAGTTTAAGTTTTTATTTCTAGTTCAAATTGTACTAAAAGTGAAATCTTAAACTGGACAATAATTATGGGACAGAGAGAGAATGATGGATACGCTGATACACGTGAAAATAAGTTGCAACAACTAAAGAGTAGTCCTAACGATTAATAAGTTTTATTATTAAAAAAATGTGGTGTGATACTCGTCTATTTATAGAAATAAAAGGAGTACATCCTTCTCATTGTATGGCTGGAAAATGAAAATATACAGAATAGGGAGCGTAATTTGTTGTCACCCATCGCCACAACTGTTACAACACATTTTGATCTGCATTATGGTATTTTCTCCTCTTAATTTAGTCTGTTTACCATTCTTTTCCATACATTAGAGGGGCAAGCTTTTTAATTTATGGGTAGATTTCACTGTCCTTACAATGCATGTTAAAAAAAAAGGCAAAAAATGATTGCACAAAATTGACAAATCAAAACAGATCATGATTATCGATCCATCCATAGCTTGTTAAGTATCTGGTTTGATAAATCCATCATTTCTGACCATTGAAATCCGATTCAACATTCACTATCCCAAACATTAATCTTCACAGTTCTTACTGTTGTCCTTTTTCTTTTTTTTTTTTGGGTCAAAAGCGATAGTCATTTCATAACTTTTTCAATGGGAAAGAAAACACAATTACAGAGAGATATTACAATCTACCTTAAATGTTTCATCTAACCACAAAGGGAATATTCAACTTTGTGTACATTTGTGAGATGAAGCTCATTTGGCTAGATTGAGACAAAGTATTTCACTGTTTGCGAATGTACAAAAACCTACAGTTTATAAAGCGAGATTTTTTTAAGCCAAGAGATGTTTTTGACAATGGTCATTACATTCTGAAACAGGGCAATCCTCCCTTATAACCAAGAAACCATACCCTTCACATCTAGTTCTCCCTGTTGTATTGGCTCCATTTTTGTTGCAATTTTATATATCAGAGTACACCAACATGTTGAAAAAGCCAACGTTATTCGGCCGTGGACACCAACATGATGCCGGTATGGACACCTCCAACGTGATTGATATTATAGTAAGTTTTTATCACATTAATCATCCCAAAATAAAAGGGAGAGTAAAAAGTACTCTCTCCGTCTCATAATTGTCCAGTTTAGGTTTTCATTTTTAGTTCAAATTATACTAGAAGTGAAATCTCAAACTGAACAATAATTATAGGACAGAGGGAGTAATAAAATAGAAAAGGATTGGAAAGAATGGTATACACATCCCATGTGTCCCACATTTGCATGACTAATTAAATCAAAGAGTACCATTTTAAGATCCCATCTCCGAGAATAACTGTGTACGGATGTGTGTGTATTTATGAATTAATTTTTGTGCATGTGTCACAGTGCTCTCCTTAATAAACAATCAAACACCCAGGGGGGAATATAGTACGTACCAAATCAGAGATGACAGCGTCTTCGAGTTTGGACGTCTCAATCCGATATAAAGTAATACTAGTATCAACAGTGTTACTACTGTATCACCTGGTTTGTCTATTTTAGAGAATACAAACAGAGTGTAACAAATAATTACTACACTTTCTTTGTATCTAATCACATTTTTTGGGGCGTTTCTTAGTTCGGTATCCTTCATAAGAATTAAAATTACTATCTTAATTGATTTAGATACAGAACGAAATAGAAAAATAAAGTCTAATTCTCCATTATGATATTATAATAGGAATCGTAGGTAATTTTTAGGTTCAAGGTTTTCTTTTTTAAAATCATGACATGAATATGATTTTATTAGTATCACATCACGAAATATAATTTTTTAGTTATTTGAAATAAATACAAAAATGAATCCGACTCAAATATGAATTATTTAGAATGGGGATAGTATATTCGGCAATATTTATAAAAAAGAAGGCTTTGTTGTTTTCTTTTTTAATTGATTTTTTCAGAATTAAATAATAATAACTGTTCCATTTCAATACACTTTTTTTATATTTTTAATACATTTTTTACATTCGAAATACAAAAAACACTTCAAAATACACACTAAAGAAAGCAAAACAAACAAAGCTGAAAAAATCATGTGTGATGAAAGAATCGTACTACAAGGAGATCCGCCGCCGCCGCCGCCGTGGGGTTGATTAAAAAAGCAGCTGTCACGTACTGAGCCTTTGGGAATGGTGAAACGTTTCCCGTCAGCTCACCTCTAACTTTGTGCCAATCCTTAAAAACTTGAATTCTGGCTTTGGACCCTCTGGAATCACCAAAGTAATATTAGACAATTTGGTCTGGGAAACACTAGAAAAGATGATGCAAGTGCTAACAATTAGTAAGTGTTAGAAAAATATCGTGTGATATTCGTCTATAGAAATAAAAAAAAATAGGTAAAAAAAAAGGTCTAAAATCATATTAGAACGTACCATCCCGATCACGTCACGTTCTAACTATGGTTTCACATCCGATGATAATAGAGCAACAAGTCATGGTAGTTCACCCAGAGGCATCACCACATTTTTTGCAACACATTTTGATATGAATCATGATCTCTCTCCTCCTAATATAGTGTGTTTATCATTATTTTCATAAAATTATTAGAGGGGCAAGCTTTTATGGGTAGATTTTCACTGTACTTACTACAACAAGTACATGTAAAAAAGGGCCCAAAAATGATTGCACCAAAATTGACAAATCAAAACAGATCATGATCACCCACCAATTGATTGCGTGTAATCCTGTCATTGATCTTGGTTTGATAATCCCATCATTTTCTGGCAATTAAAATCTGATTCAACACTCACTATCCCAATTATTTTAATTCCTTAATTCCTCACACTAATCTTCACTGTTCTTATAATATTTGTCTTCCATCCATTTTGTTGCAATTTATATATATATCAGTGTACAAAGCAAACAATAAAGCTCACTCCAACAACACAGAGCCTGGTTTCCCTTTTCTTCTTCTTCTTCTTCTTCTTCATCATCATCGTCTTTCCTCTCTATAATAATTTCACCCGCAGTACAGTCCTCAAGCAAGTTAGTTTCATCGTCCCATTCATTCTTTGGAATTTTTCCTCTTAGGTAATTCTCGCCTGTATTTATTGTTAACCTCTGTTTCCTGAATTTTTGGCCCGACTGACTTCTGCTATGCGGTGTCCTGTTTTTTAATCTGTATTTCATCATTTGATTGGTTTTTGAAAGTGGGTTTGTTGTGAATATGAGTATCCTTTCGATTACACTTGTAGTACTAGTATTATGGTGGAAGTTAACTCTTGATCATCTTCAAAAAACTTGCATTAAGTTGGGTTTTTTTTTTTTTTTTTTTTCTACTTCTTCGTTGTATCTAGATTGTCTGTCTTTCTGGTTAAATTTTGTTGGGAAACCTAGATTAGAACGTATTCTGATGTTTCAGAATTATATACTTCGCATTGGGCCCTCCTGCAGGTCAAAGAAAACTGAGCCAATTCCAGAATATACTCTTTTATTCCAAAAGGGAAAAAGCTAAAATGCTTTAGAATTTTCTTTTCTTTTCTTTTAAAAAATGTGTGGGTGTAGTTTTATTTATAGATATTGTGATCTTTAGTCTTCTCTGTTTAGCTAGCTAAGACAGAATTTTGTTCTACAATTATTGTTAGGTCGGATGGTAAGTCTTGGCTAACCTGAATTTAAGGCCTTACTGGGATACATTAGCTGCTGTAGTGAGATTCAAGATGAAAAAAAAGAGGTGTAAATAGCCTGCCACTAAAATAATGCAGTCTTACTCATCCTGGCCATATCAAGAATTGAGGAGCTTTCTTATTAGATTATGGATGTCAGTACTTCTTGGTATATAAGTAGGTCAATATTGGAGGATATTCATTTTGATTCCCCTACGTGGATTCAAAAGGTTACCTGCACAATAGTTTTCAAGTTGTGACGAGAATTGGGAACTAGTTGTGCATATGTCTTTTGGGTAGATAGAATCAGACCACTGCTCTTCTCAGTGTGTGCCTTTTCTCTAGCTTGGAAAACTATGGTGTAGATCTAATATTGGCTTCACATCAGTGCATGATTTGCTCATATTACATGCTTTTGGAAAACTAAAAAGGTAAACAAGTGAACAGAGAAAAAAAGAGGTGTAAAGATCTTTGTTGACAACTATATATACTCTTGTTCTACAGGAAGATTGTTATTTTCCGAATATCACCTTGATCACAATTTCCGATATTAATCTTCTTTTGTGGTTTGTGTTTGTAGAATCAAAGAAATCTATATCCAGAATTCCGAAAATGAAAAATATTGGGAAGATCGGATTCCATTATTTACAGAAACTAAATGCATCAAGTGTACCAACAGAATTGTTAAAGAAGGGCCAGGATCGTGTTGTAGAGGCATCTCTGACCCTTATTCGTGAGAGGGCCAAGCTCAAGGTATCTGTGACTTCACTAAAGCTTTTCATCTAGACAGATTCTATACGTTTATGTCTGGTTTTGGAAATGATTCTGGTACTTCTATACTTGATTAGCTGAGGAGTCTTTTCTCTGAAGACCTTATTTTGTTCACATTGTCGGTCAAGTGAAACTTTATTTTAAAATGGCGGAGAAGTGTCCGCGAGACTCTACCTGACAATTTTGCATCCTTCCTTTCTTCTGGAGATTGAGCAGATCATTAGTTCTGACCCTCATTTTCTTCTGCTACCAATGATATTTCTCTCTGAAATGTAGACTTCCCTTTGAGAAACAGGATCTTACAATTCTAGAGATATTATCCTTCTGTGTAACCATTCCAACTAATCATACACACTGCTCGTTTTTCTTTTCTGCTTATGTGATCTTGTATATTCTAGCCGCAAGAAGTCAGAATCTGTCTTTTCTCCAGCATAATCCCTCTAAAAATTAATGCAGGGAGAACTTGTCCGAGCTCTAGGAGGTGCTGTAGCATCCGCTTCTCTTCTTGGAGTTCCTCTGGGACATAACTCTTCATTCCTCCAAGGGCCTGCATTTGCTCCACCTCGTATAAGAGAGGCTATCTGGTGCGGCAGCACGAACTCCACAACTGAAGAAGGTAAATCACAGTTGCATAAGTTTTTCACTTTTTTCTGAATGAAGTTAAAATTATGATGTTGCTTCCTCTTGATTATGTTACCTAAGCTGAAAGTGTGGCTGATCAGGATAAACAATAATAGTCTATACCTTTTCTTAAGCTATCTAACTTTGATTTATACTGCTGGAAGCCTGGAGTGGCTCAGTAATTCCAGCATTAATGTAATGAGTTGTAATGAGTTCTGTTTTTTACTTGTTTCTTTTTCCTTATTCGAAGAATATGTCAAGGATGCTTTAGTTTGGAACTTGTATTCACATGGATACTGTCTTACTATAATGCAGGAAAGGAACTAAATGATCCCCGGGTCCTGACTGATATTGGTGACGTGCCTGTTCAAGAAATTCGTGATTGCGGTGTTGACGATGATAGATTGATGGAAATTATAAGTGAATCTGTCAAGCTAGTTATGGAACAAGTAATTTTTCTTTGCTTTCTTTTGGCTTCTCCATTAAATACTAACATTTCTCCTTCAAAGTCAAACATAAGAAAGCTTACAACATAGTTTTTCTGGTTCCTCTGCCATGAGCTACACATTTTTGGATTCACTGAATACCATCATCAATTTTCTGTCTATCAGCCAGAATAACGATTATTATTATTTTTTTTTAAAGTGGCTTTTCCATGTGACAACGAATGAAGTCAAATTTCACATTCATTAAATCTCTAAATAGTCCTCACGGAGATCATAACTTTAATTCGATGTTTCATTCTCGATATTGATAACAGATTCGGATACAACTCATATAATTTCTTGGTAATATCACTGGAGGAGGACTTATCATTAAAAATTTCTAATCAGTTACGAACAGCAGTTGTGTGTCAGGAGATTTAGCTCATTTGTCTTGTAAGGGGAATGATCACTTGCTGGGATCAATATCCATTTAAAAGTATCATGTGAAAATGGCAGTACCCTGGCTGTATGAGGAAGATTTCTGTCAGATGTCTGTCTTAATAATTTCTGGATAGGATAAGTAAGCTGATACTTTAATGTGTTGCTTTCATTTGTTAGGACATTCAAAATTGTGAATGTGGTATGCTCATGAACAAGAATTTTAAGTTAGATATTATCTGGAGATGATTATAGTGGCTACTTTAGAATCGAAACATTGTAGCGCAAGTTAAAATTTCATTTAGATCATGTCTGCACATTTGTCTTGCTTCTGGAGAGTGTCTTTTAGCAGACGAATTAGATGTACTTTTATGATATTTCAATGTATTTACGGATGCTCTTTTAGGCAAGTCAAGTTTCTGCTGAGTTTAATAAGCTTAAACTGGTAATTCTTTCAATTTACAGGAACCACTGCGCCCTTTGGTGTTAGGTGGGGATCATTCGATATCGTATCCAGTAGTAAGAGCAGTTTCAGAGAAGCTTGGGGGCCCCGTGGATATTCTTCACCTTGATGCCCATCCTGATATTTATCATTCCTTTGAAGGAAATAAATATTCTCATGCATCATCATTTGCGCGAATCATGGAAGGTGGCTATGCACGGCGGCTGTTGCAAGTAATCATCTCGTTGAATACATAAACTTATTGTCCCTTGTATTTTAATTTTCTTTCTAAGTTACAGAACATTGTTTCCCTGCTAACTCTCTTGAGAGCACTGTGCTTGGAGTATTTGAATTCATTTCTGTGAGAAAAATTTCCCTTATGTAAATTTCCTTCTCTTTTGAAAAGTTGAACGTCTATGTGTGAGTCACCCAAAAAATTATTGTGAAGTGTGGGAGGCACACCCATACCTTTCCAGTTTGAGATGTAGAACTCACTCTTATTTTGCTCATATGATTTTTCAAAGTCATAGATTTCTGCACAATGGATCTCCTGAAAGTTTGCTTCCATGCAACTTGGACAAGATTTAGCGGTTAGGATTTTGTGAGCTGACAATTCCTGTTCTCCCCAGTCCATAATTCCAAAATGTTTAAATTAATAGATTTTTTCTCCTAAAGAGTGAAGTTATGATTTGTTACAAGAAGAGGTAAACAATTTCCATCCAATTTGTGTTCTAAGTGGTTTTCATTGTGCAGGTTGGAATTAGATCAATTACCAAGGAAGGCCGTGAACAAGGGAAAAGGTTTGGGGTTGAGCAGTATGAGATGCGAACTTTTTCTAGGGATCGAGCAATCTTGGAGAACCTGGTATCTATCCTATAGACTTTATTGATCTTCCTATGATGTTCACGTGTGTTGTGTATATGAGTCAACTGATTACATCACCCATTGTATTCTTGTGTGCATGTGTCAAAGAATGTCAGTGATGGGGATATCGAATCTCAGTTTTTCATGATCAAGGATAACTTGTTGATTCGTAGGCTGATATTCTTATTCCTAATGTCTACTTTATTTGCAGAAACTTGGTGAAGGCGTAAAAGGTGTATACATCTCAGTAGATGTGGACTCCCTAGATCCTGCTTTTGCCCCTGGGGTGTCTCACATTGAGCCGGGTGGTCTCTCTTTCCGAGATGTTCTCAACATACTTCACAACCTGCAGGGCAACATTGTTGCTGCAGACGTCGTTGAATTCAATCCTCAGCGTGACACGGTCGATGGAATGACAGCAATGGTTGCGGCTAAGCTTGTGAGAGAATTGACTGCAAAGATATCAAAGTGATCAACAGTTGTCAATGTCAACATATTATTCCAACCAAAAAAAACCATAGATAGTGGCCCCCGGAAAACTTTCATGGGGAAGTAGTTTTGATTCCGTGGAATTTTGTAGCAGAAACAGCTAGCTAATCAATTTTCTGTTTAACCTGACTGCTAATCATTAAGACGAAGAGCAGATGAGACATTATTAGGCACAATAATGTGTCTTAGAGGCGAATGTCTTATCTTATCACTTTGTCAGTTATCATTCCTCTGAAATCTCATGTTATCTACTCATCTTGCATAGATCGTACTGCTATCATTTGAAGTATCCCATTTCTCCCTCTTCCTTCTTCTTCTTCTTCTTCTTTCAAGTTTTAGGATCATATATGATCAAACTTTATCATGGCCTTTTAAGGTGATACGTTGATTTTTAGACGATCATTTTGGGATGGCTTAAACAACTTAAGCAATCTGACTGTTTAAGGATCCAAAAAAAAAAAGGTTTTGACATGTTTTTTTCCTTAAGGCTTAATTTTTTGAAACTTCAGATAACTTGCTTTTTAGCCATAGCAAAAAAGAACCCATGTTTTACGGTACGGTTTGCTTGGTTGAAACATAGACTACCTTTGAGTGGATAACGTGGATCAACTATAAGCTTCTCTTGGGAAATTGCATTTCTAAGGAAGTACTTAACAAGTTCGAAATCTAGTGCAAAGCCGCGGTATCCAGATATCTCAACGACTCTAAAATGTTGAACACAAGGTCATTCCACAGTTCATCTCAATGGTACCACAAAATGAAGGAACAAGGCATTAAAAGCTAGAGCAGAACATCAAAATTTAAGAGAATAAACAGCAAAAATGGTATCCTTACTACCAAAAACTGGAGAATCATTTTGGCACTGGAGATATTATATTTCATCTACACTCCTACAACCTGATCAATTGATTAAAGATACAAACCAGAGAATGATCTTCGGATGGAAGGCGTACTGCCTACAACCTGATCGATTAACTAGAGAGACTACATGATATAATATAATTTATAAAAAAATACGTATACTTATCAATGCGAGGATTTAACATTAACAATTATTTGAGATATTAACATATCTAATTATAGAGGAAATCTTACTAGCTTATTCTATATGATTTTAGTTTAAAATAAATGAATGGAGGTAACAATATGGTAATTAGTTATTGTGATAGAAAATAGGTTTTAGATTCAAGAAGGAAAACTTATGTTTGGAGGATTTTTTAAGGTTTTAATTATTTTATATTTTAGTTATTTTTTATAAATTATATTAATGCAAGTTATGTCTCTTGAGTTAAATTGTAATACACTAAACTATGCTAATATTTTTTTTATTTGAGCTAATATTTTATTTTTATGTGGAATATTAGTTTCATTTAAATGTTTTTAATCTTTATGTTAGGAAGAATAAAATAAGTCAGAAAAATAGTATCTTTATTGCTAAACTATATTATTAAAAAGATTCACATGCTTATATAAATACAATCATGTATTACAACTATACAAAGATTAATTTTTATGGTAGAGTTTGAAAATAAATAATCTTTTTAAAATTCATATAATATACTTTTATGGTCATTAAAAGTAGTTAAGAGAAATAGAACAAAATGGAGAAAAATAAAATGAAAAAGTGAAAAGGGGCTGCTTTGTTATTTTTATACATTTTACGAATTTCCGAAATCCGAGCTCAGACTTTTTCCTGCATCAAAGTACTCGGATTTCGGAAATCCGAATTGGTGAAATCCATCCAAGTATGCAATTTTAGGAGAAACAGGAGAGACTCGGACTTCCGAAATCCGAGCTCAGACTTTTTTCCGGCATCAAAGTACTATGATTTCGGAAATCCGAATTGGTGAAATTCATCCGAGAGTATGCAATTTGAGGAGAAACAAGGGAGACTCGGATTTCCGAAATCCGAGCTCAGACTTTTTTCCTGCATCAAAGTACCTGGATTTCGAAAATCCGAATTGGTGAAATCCATCCGAGAGTATGCAATTTGAGGAGAAACAGGGGAGACTCGGCTTTCCGAAATCCGAGTTTGGCGAGACTATATATAAACGGTTAACTCTTCCCCCTCCTATTTTTCCCCCAATTCCCGGTTTACAAAAACCTAAAATTAAACCCCTGGCGAATCCGAGTTTCTTCCCGGCGAATCCCTCCATTCTTCCCGGCGACTCCCTCCATTCTCCCACTGAATTCAAACCTCCCGATAAGTTTTTTTCAACTGCTTATTTTTTTTTTCGAATTTTTTTTTTCTGAAATCCGAATTTCATGTTTTTTTTTTCGCCGAATGTGTATTGTTGTGGTAATTTGAAGTTTGAATTGGTTTGGTTTGGCTGAATATGTTTTGTTTTTGTAAAATCCGAATGTGAATTGTTTGGTTTGGCCGAATGTATATGGTTTGATGCATTGGTTGAGTTGAGTTTAATTTGAGGATGAATTAGAATGTAAATTGTCTATATATGTGCATAGTTTGGTGAATGTGTATTAGCTTAGTTGTTTTTTGATTCAGTTTGTGTGTAGTTACTTTGGCCGAATGTAGGTTTTTGTTTTTTTGGCCGAATGTGTATTGTGAATTGTGGTGTAGAAAAGAGTACGTGCTACGAGATTTGGAGGAAGGAGACCCTGACTCCGTATATGAGGGGTACTATATCCAATCCAAAAAATTATGAAGCTCAAGGATACGATACTTCTTCGAGCCGAGTGAAATTATATGTGAGTTCATTATATATATTTTTTTATTTTTTCTTGTGTTCTCATTTTATTTTATTTTATTTTTTTTAGAATTTTACCATCTTAATTAACGTCCCAATTTCTTTTCAGGGTGAAGTATTGAACAACATTCGCGTGAGTACCGAGAAATTTAGAGAAAAACGAGAAGATGAGAATCTCCTAGACGAAGAACTCGACAAGCATTTGGACGATATCATCAATCAAAGACATGCTGCTTTAACCCTGGGCGCAAATGATGAGATGGAGGTGGAGGATACCCAAATCCTGGTTGATGAAGATCCATCTTTGCCCTCACAACCTCCGCCGGGTAAAAAAGCGAAACCGTGGTCGAGAGATAAGATTGGAGGAGGAAGAAAGAGGAAGGTCCTAATCTTCCCTCAGACATTGCAATAACAAACTAAGGGTCAACAAAATGAGGATCAAGCACATTCTTCTCGAGGCTCACGCATCCAGGTCGAGACTCAATTTAAAGACATTGGTGAACCCGAGACTCAGTTTGACCTTAGTGGACCCGAGACTCAGTTTGACCTTGGTGGACTCGAGACTCAGTTCGGTGGACAGTCGCAACCACAACCGGGAGTCAAATTTCTCACCATAGGGGAGTCCCAATCCCAACCCCAACCCGTGGCTCAGTTTGGTGTACAGTCGCAACCACAACAGAGTTCAATCCTCACGTATCTTAAGAGGGGAGACAGGATCCAGCAGGGCCCAAATAAATACACTCCGGATGCGCACAATAAAGGAAAAGGGAAAATATGAGACCTTTAATGTATTTTGCACATTTAAAGTGGTTTTTATATTGATTTTGGTATGAAACTTGATTTGTTTTGTTTTTAATCGAATGGCGTTTATTGTTTTGTTGCCATTAAATTTCTGTTTTTCAATGTTTCATTGTTGTTGATGATGTAAACAGTTTTAGGACTGGTTAAAATCAGTCCAATTTGTTTTTTTCAGTTCTGACATAGACTCGGATTTGCGAAATCCGAACTCAGACTTTTTGTAAAGGATTCGGATTTCGTAAATCCGAGTATGTAACCAACTGAGAGTTAGCATTTTTCAGAAAACAGAGGAGATTCGGATTTCGGTAATCCGAATCTACATTTATTCGAATTACCGTGATCCAGATTTTCCCAAAATTTAATTTTTCAACACATTTTTTTCTATCCGGAAATTAATATTTTATTCGTAAATACGGATTTAGAAAGTCCGGATTTAGATTAATTACACTAATTTCTGTCATTAACTTTCGGATTTACGTAACACAAAGTCGGATTTCTATAATCCGAGTTTAGAGAGATTCAGATTTCTGAAATCCAAGTTTCTCCCCCATTTGGATTTCCTAAAATCGGAACATATAAGTTTGTCCACAAAATTTTTGAAAGGTTTATTTTTGTCCAGGTATATATATGGAAATATATTTAAGAAAAAAATTCATCATTTGATACCCGGTTTTGTATAAATGCTGTCGGAATGGTATGTAAAAGTTCTTTGGAACTTAATCCTTTTTCTCATCTTAATTGGTGCTTCTGATTCTCACCTCAAGTGCTTTCTCTTGTCATCTCTTAAATTGATGCCGGATACTAAAAACTTCAAGAGCTGATGAAAACGACAAGTGTACATTCAAATCAAACAAGAATATCACATTATTTTGTGGGACTGATTTTATAAATAAAGATAATCGGTAATTAGGATAGAGTAAACTCCAATTTTGTTCTCTAATGTTTACCCTTTTACCAGCTAAGTCACTAAAAAGTTTCTGATAACGAAATTATTAGTTACTAAAAAACTTTATTCAACACTTTTGGTATTTTTTTAAAGGGTAAAACAAGAAACTACCCATAAATTGTACTAAAATGTTACATTTTACTTCCTAACTTTTGGATGATAGATAAATTAACCGATTCAAATTTGTAATACAACAACGAAACTCAATAACTTTTTCTTTTCCATTTTCGATGCCATTTCTTTCCTTCTATTTTTATAATTTTTCTTTTAATCTTTCTGTAATTCATGGCACAACTTTTTTATTTTTTCTATTAATTCATATTTACTGGGATTCATTTATTTATTTACTTTTGTTTTAGTTTTTCTTCATTTTACTTATTTTTCTTTTCTTATTCTTGTTTGCACTTTTATGTTATTTTTTCCTCAAACTTCTATTCACATTATTTTTTTGAGTTATTATTTTTATTTAGTCAGATTATATAATTTTATAATAGTAGACTGAATTCTAAGTCAAATCTTACTATATTAGAAATAAAAACCACACTTAAGAGAAAGCACCACCATTTGCTATGTGGCATTTCCACATCATATTTTTAAAATAAATTTTTATTTACACATCTCCTAGACTTAAAAGGCAAATGCAGTCCAAATCTACCTCCACCTCCTATTTTTGCCAAAAAGACCCCGGGTTCATAAAAAAACTCAAATCCTCATCCCCATCTCCACGACAATCGACTCCCTAACCAATCTCTTCTCTACAATAAAAAATAAAAAACAAGTTCCTCATCAATTAACAATTGAGAATATGTGGTGAAATTTATTCCTTTCCTATTAACATGTTCAATCTTTT